TTTTTTTTTTCCCCTTCTTGTTCAAGCTTTTTTTTTTTTTCTGGGGGGGAGGGGGCGGGAATTTGTTTGCATTATTTGTCTTCTTTGTTTGCTGAAAAAACTGCCGATGATAAGATTATAAGAGAATTTTAGTTTTTTTTTTTTTTTTTTTTTGGGCATCGTTTGGTTTCTTTACAGGGTCAAAAGAGATGAACTTGAACCAATCTATAAAAGTTCAATTTTAGTAGGCTCATTGAAAGAGTTTTGGTTTAGTTTTATATGATCTAAAACACAAATTCTGTGGTTTTAAGTGTTTACCGCTACCTTTCATGATGGTTGGGGAGATTGCATAGTATCCTTGATTTTTGGATCATTTTTTCTTAATGTAATTTGTTCTGGTTTGATTGGCAATGCTGGATTTTTATCATCTGTAGTTGAATCATTAAGTTCTATAACAAGATTTGTTGTTCTGGTTCTGGGGGTTTCTTTTTGTTTATGGATTTATGGGTTTTGACTTTTCTGTGAAAGATGGATGAATTGGATAACTAATCAGCAGTTGGTCAATAGATCTCATTTTTTCAACCTTCTAACTTTGAAATTGGTTATTAAGGGAAAAGAGGTTCGATAATGTGGTAGAACAACAGATAAAGTGGGGCAAATTGGGAAATTGGATTTTCGAGTTTTGTTTTTAATTGCTTCATGTTGAGTTTGCTGAAATCATATTATTATGAGACAGAACAAGATGAATTAGCAAGAAATCGAGTCACAGGAAGATAAATTGAGAATGAAATTAACATAACCAGATAAAAATAACAGAAAATGCATGAGATTCATTATTTTACTTCACTATGCAGTTTTATAATTTGATAACTGGATCTTTCTGTATTCCTTACTGAAAAGAAAGTCTCCTGAAAAGAAAGTCTCATGTTGGTTGCATCTCTTTGTCGCATATTTGGGTAGACACAGCATAGCCTTTGTCTTTGGTGAACATGTTCGGCATGTCTCCATTTAGCAATTTGTATGACCCCTTTATGATAAAAAATGGTTATGATAGGGACATCCCAATATGTTATTGATCGAAAGACTAGAATATCGTTTGGGTTTAGTTTGGTTGAGAGTGTTTTTCATGGGTTCTGGTGAACATATTTTGCGTGAAGTTTTCAAACTGGGTACTAATTTTACATCTGGTTTGAGGTGATTTTAGAAATTGTCTCTTCCACTTTCTTGTGCTTCCAACATTTTGAATTTTTTTTTTCTTTTGTGAAAAATGATCTGGGTCCTGCCAAGATACGAGAAGAATAGCATATACGACCTCTCTCTTTCTCACCCTATGCCCTGTCATCCGCTGAAATTCATCTGTTCAAACAATGTCCAAATATTAGAATGATAATTTTTCTCTCGCCCTTTTCGTTTCTGGCTTGGACATTTGCAACCATTCTGATATTTTGGATTTCAAATAATAAATGAAGTTTCTCAAGCTTTTTTAGAACTTGGCTTTTCATTGGCAAATAATTTCTTTGTTGGTTTTGATATTATGCACACACGAGAGCATGAAAGTTGATAAAGATCGAATGCTCTTAACCAATTTGTGTAGGGGTTTGAGGATGCATTTTCCATGTTTATGTATTTAAGATATACTTCATAATTCATTAACTATACAGAACTTTGGACCTCTGTTATTAGAATTTATCACTAAGTTAGCCACAATAAATATATTTACCAAAACCCTCCATCTCGTTTCATATTTATGACAATAGCCAACAAACAAAACATCCCCAATAATCCAACACTTTTAAGTATATTAAATATATTGTTTGTATTTTTCTATGCGTAAAATGGTGTGTAAATATGAAAAGGACGACAAAAAGGTAAAAACCTGAAACTAAAAAGAAGAAAGTTGGAGAGTAGTAATTCGAAGGAGATGGTCAACAGAAGCAGACAAAGAGAAGAGCCTATTCACCGCGGAGAAGGGTTTGACAAACGTCATGTGGTATTTGAAGATAAACTTTACTTTTAGGGGCCAAAATAAAGTTCAGCTTTTTTTTCCAATAAATAGGTTTAATTAAAAGTGTTAAGAAAAAAAATCTGAAACTTTTAAGTTAAGAAATGGAAAAGCTATGAACAGAAAATCATGCATAATCTGATAAATCTTTATGAGTACGCCATGAAAGATTTGTAATTATTTTCTAAATCCATATAAAATGATATTTGTTTTTGAAACAAACCATAATCCATCAAAGATTCAGTCAAAATTTTGTCAACTACTCAGCTTCCCTTAAATGTTGATATGTGCTTGTGATATTTTTGACCCTGTCATTTTAGTATGGCCGAAGCTTCACCAACAGAGCCCATTATAAAATGGGCCTTTGACGGACTGACCACACGATGTTTAATACAAAGGCTTGGTCAATACTCAATTGGTCTTGAGTCGGGTCTTGTTTGACCTATTCATCAAGAAAATCAGGCAGTAGTCAACAAATTTATGCCAAGAACATTCAATGTTTTATTTGTGAATTCCTTTCATTTTCGGCTTCAGACCAATTCGGAATGAATCTATTTTCTAATTATAATTCACAACATTCACTATCACCGACGAGATAATATATGTCAATACGAACAGTTGAGAATGGTACCTAATTAAAGAATCATTCTAGAATTATTTTTTTTTAATATAAATAAAAAGGAATATTTACAAGTAGAGACTGAATAGTTTTTTTTTTAAATGATTGTGTCCAAAACATTTTCAAATTGAAATATAATAATAAAATTATTGAATTATAATCACCTAGATGATATACTAATTAAACACAATAAGGCATTAAGTAAGAATTATAATTTACTGTTTGCATATAGATAATACAAAATGAGAAGGTGAGTGAAATAATTGTAATTGGGGTAGGCCTGTAGTGTTTTGAAAAAGACTAAACTTATCAATCATGCATGCAAAAGGTGAAGCATTAATTAGTTTGATGAATGGGGTTGAGCAAAGCATCTGATAATCCCAGCTTACTCATAATCATTATCTAAATCATTTTGTCTCAACCCAATTAGGAGCCAGATCTCCATCTTAGTATTAATTAATTAAGGTATTCTCTACCACCAAACACCAATCCAAAATTATTGTTCCATCATCACAACAATGATTGAATATTTATGTATTTAAAAAATTAATAGAATTTGATTAATTAAATCCAAACCCATTAAAATTCAACATATTTAAATTAAGTTGATTCAAGTTTTTATTACCCAAAACAGTTTTCGTTACAATTAAATCATGAATCATTATGTAACTAAAAATATACTTTCTATAAACGTTATATTTGTGAAATTAACGAAATATATATATATAAATTTAACACGTGGGTGATATAATATTAGAGTGTTGCAAAAAATAATAAAAGAAATAATAGTAATTTCCGGAGGGCAGGTGCCAACTTTCGAAAACAAGTTAGTTGACTTGACTTTTACCTGTTGAATAAAATTGTATAAAATAAACATAAATATATAAAGTAGTGCAAGTCACGTAGGTGTAAAGCAAAGAAGAAGATGCAAGTTGTAATACGGTCTGTCAAAGAAGCCGGCCTTCATTTTTACACTTTGAAAAGTCTTTACCACATAAATNATTATTGAATTATAATCACCTAGATGATATACTAATTAAACACAATAAGGCATTAAGTAAGAATTATAATTTACTGTTTGCATATAGATAATACAAAATGAGAAGGTGAGTGAAATAATTGTAATTGGGGTAGGCCTGTAGTGTTTTGAAAAAGACTAAACTTATCAATCATGCATGCAAAAGGTGAAGCATTAATTAGTTTGATGAATGGGGTTGAGCAAAGCATCTGATAATCCCAGCTTACTCATAATCATTATCTAAATCATTTTGTCTCAACCCAATTAGGAGCCAGATCTCCATCTTAGTATTAATTAATTAAGGTATTCTCTACCACCAAACACCAATCCAAAATTATTGTTCCATCATCACAACAATGATTGAATATTTATGTATTTAAAAAATTAATAGAATTTGATTAATTAAATCCAAACCCATTAAAATTCAACATATTTAAATTAAGTTGATTCAAGTTTTTATTACCCAAAACAGTTTTCGTTACAATTAAATCATGAATCATTATGTAACTAAAAATATACTTTCTATAAACGTTATATTTGTGAAATTAACGAAATATATATATATAAATTTAACACGTGGGTGATATAATATTAGAGTGTTGCAAAAAATAATAAAAGAAATAATAGTAATTTCCGAAGGGCAGGTGCCAACTTTCGAAAACAAGTTAGTTGACTTGACTTTTACCTGTTGAATAAAATTAAATAAGTATGTATAAAATAAACATAAATATATAAAGTAGTGCAAGTCACGTAGGTGTAAAGCAAAGAAGAAGATGCAAGTTGTAATACGGTCTGTCAAAGAAGCCGGCCTTCATTTTTACACTTTGAAAAGTCTTTACCACATATATATAATTATATATATACCAAAACCCTCCATCTCGTTTCATATTTATGACAATAGCCTACAAACAAAGCATCCCGCAATAATCTAACACTTTTAAGTTTATTAAATATATTTGTTTGTATTTTTTTATGCGTAAAATGGTGTTAAATATGAAAAAGACGACAAAAAGGTAAAAACCTGAAACTAAAAAGAAGAAAGTTGGAGAGTAGTAATTCGAAGGAGATGGTCAACAGAAGCAGACAAAGAGAAGAGCCTATTCACCGCGGAGAAGGACAAGCGCAGCTTTTAAAAGTCAGCCGCCATTACCAGTAACGGCGTTAACCACAGTGACCCCATTCGCCAACCACCATTTATGACTAAACCATCCACTGCCACACCCCTCATTTCATTCTTCACAATTCAACCCTGGAGACATTTTATTTTTGTTTTGGTAAAATTATGTTTTACGTATATACGGAACCATACGGTAACTGGTTGAGAGGGACATTTGATACCGGGAGAAGAAACATAGGTTTTATTTTACAGTGAGAGAAAGACTAAGAATGGTCAAATACTACCAGTCAATGGTTGATAACCTTCTCTCTCCCTTTAAACTCTCTATATTATTCAAAGCGAGTATACGTTTCTCTCTCTTGTTGTATAGCTTCAGAGTTTTGAAGAGGTGCTGATTGCTGAATTTTTTTTTGAGGTCGCCTGGTGGGCTTGTTTTGTTTGATCACCAAACTTTTCATTTCTTCTTCTTTTCCGTCTCCGAGTACTTTGTCGTTCCTAGTTTGGTGGAGCCTGTAGAGAGAAATGGCAGTAAGTTCCTCTCTTTTTTATCTTGTTGGTTGAAATTTCGTATCTCTTTGTTGCTTTTTTTTATCCCCTTCTTGTTCAAGCTTTTTTTTTTTTTCTGGGGGGGAGGGGGCGGGAATTTGTTTGCATTATTTGTCTTCTTTGTTTGCTGAAAAAACTGCCGATGATAAGATTATAAGAGAATTTTAGTTGTTTTCTTTTTTTTTTTTTGGGCATCGTTTGGTTTCTTGACAGGGTCAAAAGAGATGAACTTGAACCAATCTATAAAAGTTCAATTTTAGTAGGCTCATTGAAAGAGTTTTGGTTTAGTTTTATATGATCTAAAACACAAATTCTGTGGTTTTAAGTGTTTACCGCTACCTTTCATGATGGTTGGGGAGATTGCATAGTATCCTTGATTTTTGGATCATTTTTTCTTAATGTAATTTGTTCTGGTTTGATTGGCAATGCTGGATTTTTATCATCTGTAGTTGAATCATTAAGTTCTATAACAAGATTTGTTGTTCTGGTTCTGGGGGTTTCTTTTTGTTTATGGATTTATGGGTTTTGACTTTTCTGTGAAAGATGGATGAATTGGATAACTAATCAGCAGTTGGTCAATAGATCTCATTTTTTCAACCTTCTAACTTTGAAATTGGTTATTAAGGGAAAAGAGGTTCGATAATGTGGTAGAACAACAGATAAAGTGGGGCAAATTGGGAAATTGGATTTTCGAGTTTTGTTTTTAATTGCTTCATGTTGAGTTTGCTGAAATCATATTATTATGAGACAGAACAAGATGAATTAGCAAGAAATCGAGTCACAGGAAGATAAATTGAGAATGAAATTAACATAACCAGATAAAAATAACAGAAAATGCATGAGATTCATTATTTTACTTCACTATGCAGTTTTATAATTTGATAACTGGATCTTTCTGTATTCCTTACTGAAAAGAAAGTCTCCTGAAAAGAAAGTCTCATGTTGGTTGCATCTCTTTGTCGCATATTTGGGTAGACACAGCATAGCCTTTGTCTTTGGTGAACATGTTCGGCATGTCTCCATTTAGCAATTTGTATGACCCCTTTATGATAAAAAATGGTTATGATAGGGACATCCCAATATGTTATTGATCGAAAGACTAGAATATCGTTTGGGTTTAGTTTGGTTGAGAGTGTTTTTCATGGGTTCTGGTGAACATATTTTGCGTGAAGTTTTCAAACTGGGTACTAATTTTACATCTGGTTTGAGGTGATTTTAGAAATTGTCTCTTCCACTTTCTTGTGCTTCCAACATTTTGAATTTTTTTTTTCTTTTGTGAAAAATGATCTGGGTCCTGCCAAGATACGAGAAGAATAGCATATACGACCTCTCTCTTTCTCACCCTATGCCCTGTCATCCGCTGAAATTCATCTGTTCAAACAATGTCCAAATATTAGAATGATAATTTTTCTCTCGCCCTTTTCGTTTCTGGCTTGGACATTTGCAACCATTCTGATATTTTGGATTTCAAATAATAAATGAAGTTTCTCAAGCTTTTTTAGAACTTGGCTTTTCATTGGCAAAGAATTTCTTTGTTGGTTTTGATATTATGCACACACGAGAGCATGAAAGCTGATAAAGATCGAATTCTCTTAACCAATTTGTGTAGGGGTTTGAGGATGCATTTTCCATGTTTATGTATTTAAGATATAATTCATAATTCATTAACTATACAGAACTTTGGACCTTTGTTATTAGAATTTATCACTAAATTTTGGTGGTGATGAAATAAAATGTTTCCACGGTGAAATTTGGCCTTTCCATCTTTGAGTATTTGAATATTCTTGCTATGATTCACCCAATCCCTTCGCCATGTTGGTTAACTGGAATTCACATATTATGTTTTCTGCTTCTTCAATGTAAAAGTATAATTTGAGCTGGAGTGTCTTAAAAGATGAAAGTGACTTATTTATGGATGACATTTAGGTGAAATATTAACAAGCTTTTGTTATTCTGGCAGCAACGTTCGCATGTACCACAGTTTGGAAATTGGGAGAGTGAGGAGAATGTTCCTTACACAATGTATTTTGACAAGGCCCGGAAGGGTAGAACTGGGGGGAAGATGATCAATCCTAATGATCCTCAAGAAAACCCGGACATACTTTCTAGTTTTGAAGCTCCAGATCCAGCTCCTCCCAAAATCATGGCTGAACCTGAGATACAAAGAGGACAGGGAGCAGTTAGAACCGAGCAACGGAGGAGCAGAGAAGATAGCGAACATAAACAATACAGGGACTCTCCTGCACGTCATGATGATATGAGCCGCAAATCTTCGAGTGAATCGAATCATCAACGTCAAGGAGGGCGTGTAGTAAGTTCTGGTGAAGCTTACAAGAGGCCTGTGAGAAACAGTGCTGGGTCAGAGAACAGCTTTGACCGGTCGCCTCTGCATAACCAGGCAAGAAACACAGGGAGAGGTAGTGGGGATCCATCCTCTCCTGCATGGGAAGGGAAGAATCTGTATAAAAATAGCCATGGTACACCTGGAAGATCCAGAATGAAGCCAGCTACTAGAGGCGATGAAAGTGTAAATTTCTCATTCCCTATTATTATTTTTTTTAATCATATTATTAGGCTTATAAAAATGTGTTTTGATTGAGTAGTAAATTTATAAAGTCATTTCTTTGCTTAACGTTGAACAAATCCTTGGGGTGTTCATCTCCTTATACTGACAATGTGGTTGCATGGTGACAGCCTGATGCAGGTGCTGCAGTTCCAAAATTTGGGGATTGGGATGAGAATAACCCCGCATCAGCTGATGGCTATACTCATATCTTTAACCGAGTGCGACAGGAAAGGAATAATGGGCCAAGAGCTCCGGGCATGGCAAGTCCCTCTCCATACAACAATGTTCACAGGCAAAGTTCCAGTGACAGTGTGAAGGTATGCAAGCCTTACCAGCTTCTTCCACACAAGCACTTTAAATTTATGGTTTTCCTGAATATGTTATAATTTCTACTAATATATCACATTGTTCTATTTTCCAGAGTTGTTGCTTTCCTTGGGGCAAGAAATGAAGTTATTCAAATTAATTGATGATGATGAGGTTGGTGAGAGTGAGACTTGTAAATACTTTGAAAACTCTCTGCAAAGAGAGTAACTTCATTTAAGTGAATTGCTGTCTCTCTAATGGTAATGGTATGATTTATGTGATAATAAACCAATAGGCTTTTGATCAGAAATGTCTTCTTCTGTTTTGTTCATCTTGGTTATCTTTTCCATTTAGATTTTAGTGTGCTATCAATCATGTCGTTGAGAGTATTATTATATGTAGATTCTTTAATTCTATTTTGATTTCTTAATGTATTGTGCTCTCTTTTTTGTCTGATTTTTACTGTCAGAGTTATCTGCTGTATCATAAAATTTTGAGTCTCTTTTTTTGTATCAATTTCGTGTAATACAGTTCTGTTTCTGCCTGCTATGTTACTATTTGTTATCAAACTTTAAATTAAGTCTTGGTACCACCAATTTACTGAAAAATAATCAAAATCGAAATTAATTAAATATTTAAAATCTAATTTATTCATCAATTAAAGATAAATTACATTAGATTTGATCGTAATCGAATTAAATCTAGAAGAAACTGAAATTCATTTATCATAGTAAGGGCAGCTTGGTAATTTGAAATTTAAGTTTCTCAAGTCAAGCATTGACCTGCCATTGCCAAACACCAAGCCGCCATTGCAGTGGTCCGCAGATACCTTATCCGTAGACAATTCCGTTCCCTGTTCACATACCTAACGGTCAAAGTAAGAAAAACAATCCATCACCACTTGATTAATCTATTTGATCAAGAAACAGCAATACAGAGACTGTACAGTGAGGACGCTCGCAGGTGATAATTACTTCTTTCTCATTACCGCAACGTGATAGCGCCAAAACTTCGCGGCAGGCCTTAAAAATTAAAAAATTTGGCACAACGCTCTCTCTTAATTCAAAAATCAAAAGACAAAACAAAACAAAAAGTAAATCCTTCCCTCTCGTTTCACTCTCAGATCTGGTTCCACAAACTTAAACCATAACAGAGGTATCCTCATTCTTGTTTGGATTCTACAAATTCCAGGTACTTAATTTCCCGTCTCTCACTGTAAATTAGATTTTTGCTTTTGGGCTATTAAATTTCTGGGATCCCATTGAGCTGTAATGTAGTCAATTTCTCGAAATTTAATTAGGGATTTTAGATTTCGCATACACAATTTTTCTATTTAATTACGAATCATGGTTAGAGAGCAAAGGCTAGAGTCCTTCTACACACGGCTCCGCGAATCGGCCATGGTTTCATCTGAGTCTCCTCTTCTTATATTCCCATCAACGTCTGATGTGGACTCGCTCTGCGCCTTAAAAATTATCCTCCATGTACTCGAGTCCGATTCGGTTCGTTATGCGTGTTATCCGGTCTCTTCTTTCGGAGAGATTCACAAATATGCCGGTCCCAATTTGTGTTCTTCCTCTAAAACTTCCATTTCTGTTTTGTTAATTAATTGGGGTTCTCAACGTGACTTGAAAAGTATTCTTAATTTAGGTCCTAAGGCGCGTGTTTTTGTGGTTGATAGTCACCGTCCGATTCACTTGCATAATTTGAGTGCTGGTAATGATAATGTGATAGTGTTGTACACGCCTGATGATGAGCAGCAGGCTGATTTGGCTTACGATTTTGATGTTTCGGCTTTGTCAAATGCTTGTAATTTGGAGATAGATGATGCGGATTTAGATAGTGACGAGGAAAACGAGAGTGATAGTGAGGAAGAGGAAAATGATGATGGGTCAAGGAAACGAAGAAGGGTTTCTTTAGAAAATGACGAAGATCCCGAACAGCTTTTCAGAAAACTAAAGAGAGAGTATTATAAAATGGGTACTTTTCATGGCAAGCCATCTGGATGTTTGATGTATGATTTATCACATTCTTTGAGGAAGAACACTAATGAGTTGCTTTGGTTGGCTTGTGTTTCGTTGACTGATCAGTTCGTTCACGAGAGGTTAACTGATGAGAGGTACCAAGCTGGGGTTATGGAGCTTGAGCAGCATATTAATGGCTCAGGGAATTTGGATGCAGTTACTTCTTTGACACTTAAAGATGGGACAAAGATTCGAGCGCCTGAATCATCAAGAATTGCATATGAAGATGAACCAAGACTTATGCTATTGCAGGAGTGGAATTTATTTGATTCAATGTTGTGCTCTTCATATATTGCAACTAAATTGAAGACGTGGAGTGACAATGGTATGAAAAAACTTAAGCTTCTTCTTGCTAGAATGGGTTTTGCACTTGTGGATTGCCAGCAAAAGTTTCAATACATGAATCTTGAAGTGAAACGGAAGATGAAGGATGAATTTGAGAGGTTTCTGCCTGAGTATGGGCTTACTGATTTCTACTACAGGAGTTTCCTGAGGTTGCATGGTTACAGCTCAAGAGTGTCTGCTGCGGATGTGGTGTACGGGGTAACTGCATTGCTAGAGTCATTTGTGAAATCTGATGGTTCTTGTGCTTCAAAGCAGTTTGGAGTGGCTTATGATGCTTTATCATTAAGCAATGTTGATAAGTTGAAAGCTGGGATGCAGCAGGCAATCAAGATTCAACGGGCAATTCTTAGGCAAGGAAGTGCAGCCATTACAAGGAATGGTGCTATCAGAAGTGGAAGGAAATTCAGGTGGGTGAAGCTTGAAGATTCAGTGGACACACAGTTGTTGGGGTATCCCCAGGCTTTGACTAAATTCTGCTATTTCTTAATGGATGCTTTGAGAGAAAAGGGAGCTAGAATGAAGCCTCTGCTTTGTGCTTGCTTATCACAGGAGCCAAACAAAGTATTGATTGTTGCGGTTTGTGGGAAGCCTAGACTAGGGGCCGTTCAAGGAAATGCATTTGGGATTGCCTTCAGAAATGCAGCTACAGAGATCGGAGCTGAGTTCTTCCATGAGCTATTTGAATCTTCTTGGATTGTATTGGACAAAGGTGCAGTTAATTCTTTTATGATCAGATTGACCGAGAAACTCTAATCTTGAATTTTACCTGATGTCTAGATTAATTTATGTTTAACTTGAACATGTTCTCAAGAGAACATTTGTTGTAGTTTTCCCCACTTTCTTTTCGTGTTTTTAATAATTCATAAATGAGAAATCATATATGATTTAATTCATTAAAGAAGGTTGTCTTTAGTTCTAGTTGTTTGTAGATTTTTTTGAATGCAATGAATTTATAGTTTCACATTCTCAATAACATCACTGTTGTAAGTTACAAAAATTTGATAGGGTAAAAGTGTATATGGGTCTTTGAAAGATAGATGCAGAGTCCTCATTATAATGGAACTGTTTCCTAAAGGCTAAAGCGGTATGAAGGTAGAATAACTACAATCTACTTTGCAAATTTGCAATAAATTATGGCAGCGTGGATTTATATTTTCTTTTTCCTTTTCATGCATCTAGATATGCTAGTTGTGTTCAATGATGTTTATGTTGAACAAATAATGCAATCTTGTTGTGATAACATCACAATCTCTTTATGAAACAGATTACAACTTAGGCAATGGTTACGTGTGGTTTCTTTGATAATATTGTTCTTATTTCGGGTCCAGAAATTTATCTTCTGAGTTATACCTTATCTGGAGAGGTCAGCTCCGTGAGGAGATTTTTTTTGTCATAGGAGAAAACTAGACAGTAGTTATACCTTTCCCAGAGTGGCAATTTCCTAGTGGTGGTTTTCTTTGCTATAGCAGAAAACAAGACAGTTACACCTTTTCTAGAGAAGCAAGTTCTAGAGGAGGTTTTCTTTGCCATTGGAGATTACAATACAGCAGGAGCAGGACCGTTCCTTCGTTGCATATAAAGTAACAAGAAGGCAGAAAATTACTAATCAGAGCTAATGATTTTTTCTTAAGGAGTCTGGAATTTCTTTATCAGGTAAGCTATGGGAATATCCTACGAGGGTATTAGGCTATTAGCTATTTTTTGTAAATGCATTTTATTCTTTCATGTTATTGATTTTAAGTTCAAGAGACTGAACCAAAAGAGAAGAGGAGTTTGATATTCATCAATGCTGTCGCATATAGTGGTGTTAGTGTACCTGACGTTAAATTTTAAACATATGATACTGACTCTTCTTTATAAGTTCAGTGATGCTAGGCTTACCGACTCAGCCACAGATTTTACATACCGACTTGAGTTAAATTTTCAGATTTGGGTTGTTGGATAGTGAGTCGGTATATAAAAATCAGTATTTGGGTCGGTAAATATAGTATTATTCTTATAAGTTTCAATTAAAGACTACAGTTTTTGAATGAATTTAATCATAATATTCAAAGTATGTGAACCGATTCCTTTACCGACTAGAGATATGCTAAAGGGAAAGTTTCAGATTGCCATGCTTGAAACGTGGAGTTGAACGTTGAACCGGCTTGCTCTCTGTATAGTGTTCTTGCAGCAGTCTTCGTGTACGCCCTAAGCTTCCTCTTTCCCTTAACTTGAAATGGTCGTTTGTACTGTGTAGGATGCAATTGTCGTGCATCATTTTAATAGTTTGCTATTATATTCTTTAGGGCGAACGATTTGTGCATACCTAAGGTTTGCCATAATAATAAGTTGGTACTCAAAAAATTTTAAAACAACAAATAGGTACCTTCCGTTATATTCTGTTAGTGATTTCTGTTTATTAATAGTGAAAAGACTAAAATACCCTTGAAAATTTGAATTTTAGTTTTTTTTATAAATTTAAAAATTTCTAAAAAACCCCATAGGTTTACAAATTTAACTAAATACCCCAATAAATAAATTTTTTGTAAAATAACCAAAACACCCCCGCCACCTGCAGTGTCAGATTCCGGCCACCACTGCCGGAGTCTGGCCGGAAAGTTGCGTTACGACACAGACCCATCGGATCTGTGTCGTAACGCGTCGATCTGGCTTTTTCCGGCCAGATCCGTGGCTGATCTGGCCAGAAAAGGCCAGATCTACGGCTAGATCTGGCCTTCGACGCCTCAAAACTCCATCTGCGGCGTCAACGGCTAGATCTGGCCTTTTCCGGCCAGATCCGTGGCGGATCTGGCTGGAAAAGGCCAGATCTGGCGGCTGCTTCGACGGCCAGATCTGGCCTTTTCCGGCTAGATCTGTGGCAGATCTGGCCGGAAAAGGCAAGATCGACACGTTACGACACAGATTCGACGGGTCTGTGTCGTAACGCAACTTTCCGGTCAGATTCCGACAGTGGTGGCCGGAATCTGGCACTGCGGGTGACGGAGGTGTTTTTGTTATTTTACAAAAATTTTATATATTAGAGTATTTAGTTAAATTTGAAACCTAGGGGGTTTTTTAGAGATTTTTATATTTATAAAAAACTAAAATTCAAACTTTCAAGGGCATTTTAGTATTTTCACTATTAATAAACAGAAATCACTAACAGAACATGACGGAAGGTACCTATTTGTCATTTTAAAACCTTTTGAATACCAACTTGTCGTTATTGTAAACCTTGGGTATGCACAAGCCGTTCTCCCTATTCTTTAAATGCGAACATAGAAATTGGCGAAGCTTTTATATTTGAATCTGTATGTTGATGGGTGATAAAATAGGCTCAAACCAAAGGTAAAGGTGTGATGTTATTTATGGTCCATTGTTATTTTTTATTTTTCTGTAATTAACTCATGGCATCTTTATTTTCTGCATTCTTAACACTATGATAATCTATTTCGTATGGTATTGGTATTAGGAGTAATGCTATGCTTACTCACATCTTATTAACCATCTTACAATCTTGGAAAATATACGGCATAGTATGCGTACTATACGTATAGTACCTGTACTATACCGTTTATTTATCAGGATAGTAAAGTGGTTAGTAAGATTGTGAGTAAGCAATGTTTTATTGTTGGTATAGTTGATTTATTGATTAGGTAATCATTATATATTAGGGGTAGCGTCTATAGCTCTTTTATTTTACATTGATTTAATCTTTAGTTAAAATAAATGAACCGTTGATTATATTGATTAATTTGTTTCGTATAGTACCCGTACTATGTCGTTTATTTATAGTAAGATTGTGAGTAGCATAGTTTTTTATTGGTATTGTTGATTATTGATTAGGTAATCATTATATATTAGGGGCAGCGCTCAACTCTTTTATTTTACATTGATTTATATCTTTAGATTAAAATAAATGAACCGTTGAAATTATATTGATTTAATTTGTTCTTGAGATTACACATCTAAAAAATATAATTTTATATCAATTATAAAAAAAAATATCTAAAAGATCAATGTTTCTCCGTTATATCAAACAAATATTTTGTTTACTTTAGTAATATAATTTGTTCCGTATAATTCATAAGATCAATAATTTAATTTTGATATTATTTTTCCTTTCTTATATAATAATGGTGTTAATTGAAAATTTAATTTAGGAGGGAGGATCGAGAAGTGATAATTTCTAACATAATGCAAGTTTTCAGACTGATATTGACCATTAATAGCCCCAGTCGGAGACTGAAAGACGCAAATACGCGGGCCAATTATGGAAGCCGACACGTTGACATGTCATAAACCATGCCACGTGGGCGCCCTCTAGACCTCACCGACCCGCGTGTCATATATACGGTCCACAGTGCAAAAGCCCATTTCTTTTATTTTCTTCACATACTTCTTCCAAAAATAAAAAATATATCATTTCACCTTCCCCTAATCCTTTTTCGATTCTTCCTTCTAACTCAAACCCTAGACACCCAAGACTTGCAAAATCATTACGTCTTTCACGGTACCTTCGGTATTTTGACGATAATTATTAACGTTGACTTTATTCTCTGAGGTTAGAGTCTTCAATTTTGATTTTTTTTTTTATTGTTTAAATTGTTTAGTTTTTTTCTCAATCGGCTAGGTTTTGCTCTGATTCACTGTATGTTTTTGATTTCCTGCTGCATTTATATATGGATCGATTTGCTTTAGTTTTTCGAAGTTTGATTTTCAATTTTCCTTGAGTTTTAAAGGTTTGAGACTTGAATTTTGATTAAAAGCTTTCATGTCTTGGTGATTGTGAAATTCGATATCGATCTTAGAAGATGACTGCTTTAGTATAGTTTCAGGATTGAAAGCAGAATTTTTTGTAAAATCGGATTTGCTGATGCTTAAATTTGACATATTGTTTTATAATCAATGACTTTTTTTGAAGTCTCTGGTTTGATGCTGGAAAAGGTTGATATCAGATTATAGCTCAAATTTGTGTTGAATATTGACGTAACAATACTGCTTTGGTTGCACATAACCGGAATAGACTTGGGGGTTTCAATTTTTAAGGCTGTCTTTTTTTATGCTTTTAGTATTTAGATTCTATGGGATATGGTAATGGACGTTTAAACCAAATTTTGCATTGAACTTGTGAAAGGAAGGTGAACATGATATCTCTCAGTATACGTTTGTCTTTCACATTTGAGTAAATATTTGTGTACTGATACTTGGTAGAATATGAAGTGTTTTTGCCTCCCTATTTTTTCAGGAGTTTTAAGGCTAGGGAGAACTTGAATAGAAGCTTCTCAGAGCATGAGCACCCAGGCAGTGAGGGGACCTCCTTTAAGAGGATATCGTCGGAGGAAGGGACTACCGGATCTTAATGCACCACCTTGTGAAAGCAGAGATCGAGAGGGGACTTCGAATGATATCAGTTTACATGAAGTGCTGGCTGGCCAACAAGGACCATCAATACCACCTGCTCCAATTGATGTTGAGGCTATTGATGATGATGTTATTGAGTCGTCTCCCAGGGCTTTTGCCGAAGTAATTTTTTTTAATTTTTTTATTTATATCTATTCTTCGGTCATCATAATATTTTCATACGGGTTAACTGTTGTTGCTATGAATTTTCCTGATTTTTACATTTCATGTCAGGCTAAAAACAATTCTAGAAGGAACCATGGAAGGGATTTTGTCGTTGATGTAGATTCAGGTAACATTGGTAATCTTCTTTACCTCTTTTATTTTTTCTCTGCAAGTTAATTTTTTTTTAATTTTTTTTGTTTTAATGTTTGTTTGTGTGTTTATTTTCCATTCATTTTCTTATATATTATTCTCATTATTATATCTTCTTCTTTTTTCTTTTTTAATCAGATGATATATTAAATTATTTCTATATATGATTTGGGGACAGTCAGGAGTCCGTCTGTGGGAAATCAATCAGTCCTTGAGGAAAGATTTTTAACCTTTTTCCATTTAATAGTTAACAAATTGTTGTAATGAGAGGAAGGAAAAAGTTTGCAAATGAGAAGCCTGAATCTAAAGAAGCCAAATTATTATCTGAGGCTGTATGCACCTTGCAGTTGGCTGCTATCAGAAGTGTAGTGCAAAACATTCTATTTACTTTTTCTTGGATTTTCTGGTTTTTTTTTGTTATATGACGGATGGAAGTCTGATTCAAATTATGCTACAAATAACTTTGAGAAGAGAAGCATGGACAGTTTCTTGGAATTCCCTATTCTGTTTGCACTTTTGGCTGGCCAAACAGTTATTATAGTTTTGCCGGCAGTTATAATTTTGTTGGCTGAATCTTTATATTAGTATATTTTCCTTGAAGTTATTGGTGTAGCTCACATTACTCTCTTATTGCTGCTTGGAATTTCTGGTTTGCAGGAAGAACAACAAGGTTAACAACAAGGTTGACCAATAATAACCGTAGCAAGCGCAGACGGGTATCACCTAACTCAACTATTATCAATTGTGATTTGTACATAAATTTAGAAGGCACTAGCAACTCTATGGTAAGAACTGTAATCTTTATTGTTATCAATGTATTTATTGCACTGAAAAATTAAGAAAATCTGTAATAAGTTGTTGAATTCAAAATTTTGTCTTGGTTTTGCATACATCTCTCTCCATCTCCTTTTTGCCTTCTTCCACTGTTTCTGTACATGCAAGCTCGGCCCTTGTATGGCAAACAAAAAATTAAGGTTTTGACTCATTTAATATTCCATCTGTAGAGAGAGAGTGTTAGTGTGCCTCCACCACCTCCACCGCCACCACCAAAGGAGCCTATATTCACTTGCCCAATTTGCATGGGCCCATTAGTTGAGGAGATGTCAACAAAGTGTGGTCACATATTCTGTAAGGCATGCATTCGGTCTGCGATATCATCACAGGCTAAATGCCCCACATGTAGGAAAAAGGTCACAGTGAAAGAACTCATTAGGGTCTTCCTTCCAGCGACCAGTTAAATGACAGTTTCATGCCCAATAACTAATCATGTAAGTTGGCTTGATACTCTATATTTTGAATTTGTGTCAGAAAAAGAAATCAAAGCTATCGGTCCTAACATCGGATATATCTGTTAAAAAGTTAACAATGATTCCGTTAAGTGAATGAAGACCTATAATAACAAGTGTGCCCCAAACTTGTTGAGCTGATTGTGCATAGATGTTTCTTTTTCTAACTTGGTTTCATTATGTTTATAACTTGTTCTTGTATATTATATCTGTTTTTTTTGTGTTATTGTTTAAGTGCTGATGGAAGTTGTAGTGCAACAGGGTTAATGCAACATGTTTTGGACAAGAAGGGTGGCGGTTTTGGCATGCCACTGGAGGGATTTCTGTTGAATTTTGAAATTTTTAGTCTGACATGTTGTGCACAGTTCGTCAAACTGTGGGACATTATTATATAGTTAATTGATGGTTATGCCGACTAGTTTGTCTGTGCTCCTTCATTTTTGTTCTTTGTTCAGCATTGAATGCATACAATTTAATGATAGATAAGTTATTCCTACTTTGTGGTTAATGGAATATATAGGGACCTTTAATTTATGTTGAAGAAAAATAGATTAAACTATCTGGCTGCGTGTATTGTTCAACCACCAGTCTTCTTATTGGAGTTTCAGTCCGTGTGTAATAGATTACTAAAATCTGGATATGGAAATTGTTTGATCTTGTGAATTGGTTAAGGGCATTTTCTGGTGGATGTCAAAATTATTTCTATCAACTTCTCTTAGTCAAAAACAAAACGATTAAGAGATTTGTGGAGATGATAGCTGAAGTAAAAAGTTAACGGATTGGAAAGAGGAAAATTCTCCCCATGACGGGCGGACTGCTTATTTCAACTTTCTTTTGATTTTGTATTTTGGATGGAAGGGCTCAGTAGAATGTGCATAAAAATAAAGCAATTGTTTTTCATATTACAGTACCTGGAAATGGGGAACGGTTGGGGTTGGGAACCAACACGCAAACAATCTATACACATTACACAATACCGGATTTTTATAATTGCTATGGGTTTTCTTTAACGTCATTTGTATAAGGCTGGCAGCTGTTTGGGGGAATCTTTTCAAGTTAATGTGGTCGATGCGTGAATGTATTATCATGATGTCTTGCGTGGCGCACTGAAAATTCAATTAGCGCTCAGGGAAGAGAAATTTGAAATTTTTTCGCCATCTGTTTTGTATTGCCCATCAATTTAACACTGCATCATGTTAAATTACGTAGATAATCTCTTTATCTCCTGATATTCAGTGTTGGATAATCTTTGTTGCCTGTTTGTTTCGAGAGTGTTGGCTGATAAATGGAAGACTACTGAGAAAAGCAAAAACCCCAGCAATGAAACGAAAATCTATTTATTAAGGTACCATTACCAAGCCATTACATGCATAGTACTAAAGGCAGCTTATAGTAGAAAACCATATTGCTCAAACTCATTTTTCTTTATTCATATTAAAAGAGATGCCCTTCATCCAGAGGCACACAAGCACGACCTGATCATGGAGAGCCTCCTTTGGCGCCTCCATTGTTACCTTTAGATGTGTCTTTAAGCCCAGCATTAGCATTATCTTTAGGGGCAGCGAGGAAAGGGAAATGACCAAAAAACGGTAAACCCAACCCCAGACCCAATCCAAAGGGAAATGGCAAACCCAAAGGTCCCAATCCACCAAGCAAACCACCAAGACCAAGGAACTGTGGACTGTAGACTTGGTCATTCGTCGGCAGCTCTCTTCCTCCTTCATTACCAACGATAAACCCCAGAAGCAAAACTGTGAAAACCAGCAATGCCTTAATACTATTCTTCTTCATTGCTTCAGTTTCTGTATTGTACTTACATGGATAGGATTGTTTCAGAGTCACCCCATTTTGTAGTGCAAATAGCAGAAAAGAAGCTTAGTAGGTAGATTTTCGTTTACTTGGTTTGGGACTAGTATTAATTGTTTTATGCAAGAGGAGTTGGATTCGTTTAGAAAATTACAGTTGGTGGCCATGGTAAATTATGGTGTTCGATGAGGATTTCCTTTATTGTTTAGTTATTAGGTTGATCTGATACTGAAAACTGTGCAGATCTAGTATCTTCATTGATGGCCTCATGGTCCCATCCCATGGATTGCAGTGATGATTGCTTTTAAATTAAGCATTGCCATTTAAGGGAGATTCTCTATCAGCTTAGATTTGAAAAAGGATTAGAAGAAGATGAGCAGGTGGTGGTAGAAGGTTTAGCTGAATTTTCTACCTTATAAAACTCCACAGAGGTGCTTACCAAAAAGATGCTTTTCAAAACACAATAGTGTCAACTTTTGCAGAACCGTTGCATGAGATTGTAGAGGTTTTTCTTTCTATAATTTATATGTTACACAGTTCGTGAAACAAGAAAGAATTCTGCAACTCTTGAATATCATCCAAATCAAGAGTGCCAGATTTATTCCATTCCAATTAAAATCAAATCGAGGAATATCTTTAAAACTTTCACTTGAACACATGATAAAAGATCTAATTTATTGAACACATAATCAGTTCTGTAAAATTAGTGTTAAACTAAAATGACTCCATGAAGAAGAACATAGTAATTTTTATGAATTTAATGAAATATGTTTCTAATTGGCAGTCTGAAAACCTGGAATCTCAAAGTTATCATGGCAAAATTTATTCAAAATTCAAATAATGTGACAGTTGGATTAAAAAGTTGTATTTACAATTTGAGTACTCCAGAAACTGGACTAAAGTGGTTTGCAACATCATGAACGGGTTAAAGCATCATTGGTGATTAAATTATAGATTTCCCAATTAATGAAATCTAAATCCACATGGACTCTTCAAACAAGAAACATTAAATTATATATGAAAGCTTCCGATAAAATACAAACAGTAAAGATACAACAGTAAATAGATGCCCAGAATCAACTGCATTGCCTTTTACTCAATATACTGATGATTCTAAACTCTAAACTTCCTAACGACACATAGATTCGGAGCCAAACCCCCTTGATGTGAAAAAGGCAAAAGAAACAGAAACAAAGAAAACTTTTTCAAACACATTGAAAGCAGGAAATGTAGGGCAAATTACACTATTTCCTTATCTACCAGATTTCTTTCTCCACTCAGTTCGACCTCGGTTTATTTCAGAGCCAGCACCTGACAATCTCAGTAAGTGCAAAAATTGACGGTAGTCTTCTTTGTCTCCTTTTGCAGGTGACCCATTTGTTCCTTGAATCTTTGAAACTGCATCAGAATCCTCAATCAATTCGGGACTTGTGAGGGAATCGACTATATCATCTTGTTGGCATTCTCGTCTGTAATCTAAGGTGATCGTTTGCAGTTCATGGCTGTCAATGACATCTTGAGGCATGCTCTGTCAGACAGATTAAGAAAAACCATTATGGCTAGAGACAGAATCCATTTCGGAATAATTAATAGTTTACAAAAAGGAACCATGTATTGGTTCTGGCTTAAAGCCGATAAGATCTATTTTGATGAAAGGAAACTCCTTTTCAATTTAAAAAAGAAAAGGATAAGAGTGGCTACAGGAATAATTATATTTCCAGCAAGAGCAACACAAAACTAGAGGAAAGTGAAGGTTCTACTAACCTCTAGAACCCATCCAATGTAGGTAACATTATTAACATGCTGGTTCATGTCCAGATCAGCTCTCCTAGGCTGCAAATCACAAAGCACAATGTGAACTTGAAAGATATCAAAAGCATCTTATATGAATCAAACTATCTTACCATAAGCCCTGTCCTGGAATACTCAGCAGGATCTTCTAGTTTTGAAATTTTCCTCAGGCTGGCATTGTCCTTCTCTGGAAAAGAGAATCTATATATGCCAGAAAAAACATATTATAGAAGCAATAATATGTCATCCAAATTGATGTAGTATACAAATATAAAGTAGAATATGGGGCCATGAAGTTTAGCAGAATTAATGATCTAACATTGTTTCGTAGACACAAGGAATTTTCTTAGGACTTTGCTAATTTCGTCATGTAAGCCTCTATATTCGCCATGATAAAATTTTCAGCGGAATGAAAGGACAAAACAAAAGAGCTCCCAGCGATATTAGTTGATCAAAACACTTGATTCTAACCAATGTAAAATCAGTTACTTCCACAGGTCTGAAACTCGTAGACACATTCAGTAAGTGAGAGAGAGAAGGCATAAGCCATCCAATAATCCCATCTACCCCACACTCAAAGGAAAAGATATATGTCTAACAATCCGTTTCAAATTTTTTTTTCCAAAATTTGTCATAGTGTTATTAGTGTTAATAGTGAATGTAGCCAACATCTACTATTGTTCAACTCCCATATACTGTATCCCCTGAGCTGCACCTACTGGTTCACACATTCAGAGAGAGAGAGTAGGCATAGGTCTTGACCAATCTGCCTAAGTGGTAAAGACAGCTGACAAATCTACCTATGAAGTTAACCTCTATCATCTTACGGTTTTCAAATTATGACCAAGTACACATGTGATTGCATTACATAATAACTTATGTAAACAAAAGGGAATAATATAGGAAAGAAAGAAAGAAAAGCACCTACCTGGGTTCTCGTGGACAGAAGACTAAATATTCTTCTCGAATTTCATCACTGGCTTTCTGTAGCCGCCGAGTGACCTGGTTCATCATCACCCACTTGCTGAAATCATAAGATGTATTATTGTCAACTTCTATGCATATCAATACAGGAAAAAACGAAAATAGACATAAGGACACAGTGCAGTTAATAGAAACATATGAAGCAAAACTAATAATGTAAAATTTACAAAGGAGATCTTCAAATCAAGATTATAAAGAAGAGATAGCCATATTGTCGCTGATAGCCAGAGAAGAGACTGTTGACGGCCACAAAAATAACCAATTTTTAAATGTCCAATACCATGCCACCAGGAAGATGGCCCATTTACAATATCCTTGTTTGACTTTTCATAATGAAAAGCAACCAAGACTGTAAGGAGTTTAAACTTATAAAATAAGGAAATCCATTTGGAAAAAAGCAGCAATATAACAGGGCCTCATTATATACAAAAATACACGTGTTTGTAAATGGCTATTTAAAAAACCTGTATAGTTCCCTATCAACAAACCGATATGGTTGTATAGTTCCCCAAAATTTGTCAGAGAACAAAACTTCTGGCAAATTTAGGCTAACAGAGTGTCAACAAATTCTTGATATTATTGTATATTTAAGTCTAGAAGTTTGCGGAGGTTTGAAGTTGTGGCATATAAACCTCATATTAGCAAAAGACAATGAAAGGGTAAAAAGAGGTTTCTCAAAGCCAGCAGCAACAGCCTATAACTGATGTTAGATAATATTCTAGTACCACCAATAAAACTACATGCTACCAAATGCCAACCCTGAATAATTGCAGACCTCTAACAGGATATTCAGGATAAAACTTAAATGAATAGTGCATGTACTCAAAAACATTTGTTGTGGAAGACGTTCACTCTTTGTATCTTAGCATTTATATAATTCTTAAGTTCTTATACTTTGCAATACAAAGAAAAGGAGCACAAAAGAGAAGCTTAAAACACACCTTGTAGCTCTTCCAATAACTTGACCATTGGAATAGTCTTTGATAATCCAATCACGTCTGGTTCCAATTCTACCTTCACTTTGGCACCACGTCTCAATTTCAACCACATCACTCCTATACCACATACCCAATGTTTTTATTGTCAAAAGGAAAATTATGAACCCAAAACCTCTAAATTATCTGTTTCAAACAAAACCAAAGCAAAACCTACCAAGCAGGATATTTTAAGATTTCAATGTGCATACGAGCCGTCACCCATATAAGATTCATTTTTCTCATAGTGGTGGTTGTTGCAAATCCATCCGTTGAAAATCCAAGACTTTGAGCATGGTTACATCCAACCTCCTACAATGTATTTTTCCCCAATATATTAAATAAAAAAGATGTATTTCTATAATTCTATTCGAGCTTCATTTCTTTCTAAATGAAAGATTTTCTCTGTTAAAATTGAGATCCATTTTGTTAAGTTTCTTTTGTAAAGAAAAACAACTTTTTTCATCTTCCAAAAAACGTTTTCTAAATGCTGGTTTCCAAATAAGCAAAACAGGATTTAAAAAAAAGGACAAAACGCACCAAAGAATATTCATTCATAATGTGTTTTTGAAGTTTGACAAAAATTTCCAAATTTGGATATCCAATAATGCAAGAACATTAAAGAAAACGAAAACACAATTACATTTAACCAAAACTCTAAACTTCCTAACGACACATAGATTCGGAGCCAAACCCCCTTGATGTGAAAAAGGCAAAAGAAACAGAAACAAAGAAAACTTTTTCAAACACATTAAAAGCAGGAAATGTAGGGCAAATTACACTATTTCCTTATCTACCCGATTTCTTTCTCCACTCAGTTCGACCTCGGTTTATTTCAGAGCCATCACCTGACAATCTCAGTAAGTGCAAAAATTGACGGTAGTCTTCTCTGTCTCCTTTTGCAGGTAACCCATTTGTTCCTTGAATCTTTGAAACTGCATCAGAATCCTCAATCCATTCGGGACTTGTGAGGGAATCGACTATATCGTCTTGTTGGCATTCTCGTCTGTAATCTAAGGTTATCGTTTGCAGTTCATGGCTGTCAATGACATCTTGAGGCATGCTCTGTCAGACAGATTAAGAAAAACCATTATGGCTAGAGACAGAATCCATTTCGGAATAATTAATAGTTTACAAAAAGGAACCAAGTATTGGTTCTGGCTTAAAGCCAATAAGATCTATTTTGATGAAAGGAAACTCCTTTTCAATTTAAAAAAGAAAAGGATAAGAGTGGCTACAGGAATAATTATATTTCCAGCAAGAGCAACACAAAACTAGAGGAAAGTGAAGGTTCTACTAACCTCTAGAACCCATCCAATGTAGGTAACATTATTAACATGCTGGTTCATGTCCAGATCAGCTCTCCTAGGCTGCAAATCACAAAGCACAATGTGAACTTGAAAGATATCAAAAGCATCTTATATGAATCAAACTATCTTACCATAAGCCCTGTCCTGGAATACTCAGCAGGATCTTCTAGTTTTGAAATTTTCCTCAGGCTGGCATTGTCCTTCTCTGGAAAAGAGAATCTATATATGCCAGAAAAAACATATTATAGAAGCAATAATATGTCATCCAAATTGATGTAGTATACAAATATAAAGTAGAATATGGGGCCATGAAGTTTAGCAGAATTAATGATCTAACATTGTTTCGTAGACACAAGGAATTTTCTTAGGACTTTGCTAATTTCGTCATGTAAGCCTCTATATTCGCCATGATAAAATTTTCAGCGGAATGAAAGGACAAAACAAAAGAGCTCCCAGCGATATTAGTTGATCAAAACACTTGATTCTAACCAATGGAAAATCAGTTACTTCCACAGGTCTGAAACTCGTAGACACATTCAGTAAGTGAGAGAGAGAAGGCATAAGCCATCCAATAATTCCATCTACCCCACACACAAAGGAAAAGATATATGTCTAACAATCCGTTTCAAATTTTTTTTTCCAAAATTTGTCATAGTGTTATTAGTGTTAATAGTGAATGTAGCCAACATCTACTATTGTTCAACTCCCATATACTGTATCCCCTGAGCTGCACTTACTGGTTCACACATTCAGAGAGAGAGAGTAGGCATAGGTCTTGAACAATCTGCCTAAGCGGTAAAGACAGCTGACAAATCTACCTATGGAGTTAACCTCTATCATCTTACGGTTTTCAAATTATGACCAAGTACACATGTGATTGCATTACATAATAACTTATGTAAACAAAAGGGAATAATTTAGGCAAGAAAGAAAGAAAAGCACCTACCTGGGTTCTGGTGGACAGAAGACTAAATATTCTTCTCGAATTTCATCACTGGCTTTCTGTAGCCGCCTAGTGACCTGGTTCATCATCACCCACTTGCTGAAATCATAAGATGTATTATTGTCAACTTCTATGCATATCAATACAGGAAAAAACGAAAATAGACATAAGGACACAGTGCAGTTAATAGAAACATATGAAGCAAAACTAATAATGTAAAATTTACAAAGGAGATCTTCAAATCAAGATTATAAAGAAGAGATAGCCATATTGTCGCTGATAGCCAGAGAAGAGACTGTTGACGGCCACAAAAATAACCAATTTTTAAATGTCCAATACCATGCCACCAGGAAGATGGCCCATTTACAATATCCTTGTTTGACTTTTCATAATGAAAAGCAACCAAGACTGTAAGGAGTTTAAACTTATAAAATAAGGAAATCCATTTGGAAAAAAGCAGCAATATAACAGGGCCTCATTATATACAAAAATACACGTGTTTGTAAATGGCTATTTAAAAAACCTGTATAGTTCCCTATCAACAAACCGATATGGTTGTATAGTTCCCCAAAATTTGTCAGAGAACAAAACTTCTGGCAAATTTAGGCTAACAGAGTGTCAACAAATTCTTGATATTATTGTATATTTAAGTCTAGAAGTTTGCGGAGGTTTGAAGTTGTGGCATATAAACCTCATATTAGCAAAAGACAATGAAAGGGTAAAAAGAGGTTTCTCAAAGCCAGCAGCAACAGCCTATAACTGATGTTAGATAATATTCTAGTACCACCAATAAAACTACATGCTACCAAATGCCAACCCTGAATAATTGCAGACCTCTAACAGGATATTCAGGATAAAACTTAAATGAATAGTGCATGTACTCAAAAACATTTGTTGTGGAAGACGTTCACTCTTTGTATCTTAGCATTTATATAATTCTTAAGTTCTTATACTTTGCAATACAAAGAAAAGGAGCACAAAAGAGAAGCTTAAAACACACCTTGTAGCTCTTCCAATAACTTGACCATTGGAATAGTCTTTGATAATCCAATCACGTCTGGTTCCAATTCTACCTTCACTTTGGCACCACGTCTCAATTTCAACCACATCACTCCTATACCACATACCCAATGTTTTTATTGTCAAAAGGAAAATTATGAACCCAAAACCTCTAAATTATCTGTTTCAAACAAAACCAAAGCAAAACCTACCAAGCAGGATATTTTAAGATTTCAATGTGCATACGAGCCGTCACCCATATAAGATTCATTTTTCTCATAGTGGTGGTTGTTGCAAATCCATCCGTTGAAAATCCAAGACTTTGAGCATGGTTACATCCAACCTCCTACAATGTATTTTTCCCCAATATATTAAATAAAAAAGATGTATTTCTATAATTCTATTCGAGCTTCATTTCTTTCTAAATGAAAGATTTTCTCTGTTAAAATTGAGATCCATTTTGTTAAGTTTCTTTTGTAAAGAAAAACAACTTTTTTCATCTTCCAAAAAACGTTTTCTAAATGCTGGTTTCCAAATAAGCAAAACAGGATTTAAAAAAAAGGACAAAACGCACCAAAGAATATTCATTCATAATGTGTTTTTGAAGTTTGACAAAAATTTCCAAATTTGGATATCCAATAATGCAAGAACATTAAAGAAAACGAAAACACAATTACATTTTTTTTTTTTTAATTAAGAGGAATACCTGCAAGAGATTAGCAATGGTTTCAACGGTGGCAGTTTTGTTGATCCCAACCTCATAACATCTCACTATAAACTTCTCCTTATACGAAAATCCGTCTTCCATTAAGCTCCCCAACCGGAGCCTATCCGCCAACGTACCAGACCCAATTTCGGTGAGAGTCCGACCTCCTTGTTCCGATACAACAGCCTGAATTTTAACCGGAGTTCGAGGATTAGAAATCGGAAGAGAGACGTTTCGTCGGCGAACAGAGGAGACGGGCCTGGGAAGGCCCATGAATCTGCATTGGGCCTGGTTTATGAGGTGGATTTGGTCCGTGACATTGCATGAAAACTTCAACATGTTTGTGTGTTCTATGTAAAACAGAAACAAAAACAGAGACGAGAGTAATTTAATTATCTCCGTGGAATTGTGGGAGAGAGAGAGAGTTGAGTGTCTGCGTTTTTAAAGTGTGTGTGTGCGCGATTTGGTCGATGGGACCGAGGATGTGTTGGCGTTGCGGCCGAGTAAATGACACTGGCTTTTGCCATAAATTACAAGGTTGCCATGTTCGAACATCAGTTACGAGTTAGGAGGTAGGAGGTAGGAGTTGGGATTGGGATTGGGATTGGGATTTATTTCTTCGGTCAAGTGGAGAGGAAAATTGTTTTGTTGAAGTGCACGTGCTATTTTGACCCGTTTTGTACGCCTGCGCGTGGCTGTTGCGGATCTTCACATCAATTGTTTAAATACAAATACACCCTCCAACTTTGACAAATTAAAATAGGGCCTACAAGTTCTAAATATACTCAATTCATACCTTAATGTCCTAATCTTGCCTTGATATTATTTTAATAGAGAAGAAAAAAAATCATTAATTATCTCTTAAGATATGTTTCAAAATCACATGTTAGGACCACAAAAATCTAATATTTTGAAAATTGAGTATCTTCTTTTCTCTTTATAAATAAAATACACTTATAATTTTAACATGTATTCTTAAATTATATTACTTTTTGATTGATTCATTAAAGGATAAGTTTTTAGTAACGTGTAGATAATAATAAGGGTTATAAGTTTGTAATTGGTTATTCTGTTTGTTTATGATTTACACAATTAATTAAATTAAATACAGATTAAACTTCAACTTTACCCTTACTCCATTAAATTTGAAGCAATGGACATTTTTTTAATAAATTATTTAACGTATGTCACTGCACTCTTATATTATATACAAAATGTTAAACACAATAATAATTTTATTTGTTTCAATATATAAAATATAATTTTCTATTTGATTCTTATTGTTATATTCCTTTTTTAATTAATTCATTGAATGCAAGTTTTTGGTTATTGTGTATTTTTATTTTAAGTCGGTTACTGTACTTGTACCTGATCTTACATATAATTAATTAATCATAAATAGATTTTCAAATTAGAAAGTTCAGATAAAATTATAATTTTGCCCCAGCTTTGCTTCCCTAATTTTGAAGTAATACACATCAACAAAGATGGGGTAATAACTGTCACTTTCTTTTCTTCAAATATATATATATTTATATATTTGTCCCTTTCTTCAAATGTGGATCTAGTTAATATTTTTTGTCAAATCTGATAAGTTCAAGTGTTTCTAACCCTAGCATCATTACATCATGAGCTTTTTCTTTATTTTATTTTATTTTATTAATAAAGTCTCAAGAGCTCGTGAAACTTCAATTTGTGTTTTTACCATCAGTCACCCAGTGATGATTAGCTGGTCCTTACTATTCTTTCCCTTTTTCCAGAAAAATTAAATAAGAATTTTGTAACATGTGTTTAATGAGTTATTCAATGTGTGTTTAGAATATATAATAATTGTTTCAAAGTTTAAAATACAATTTTGTATGATATTATGAATGTATTAACAAAAAATATAGAAAAAATTACGGGGTTGTTCATACGCGGAAATGTATGAAAAATAGGAGAATTGAATAAGAGTTGAAGATATTGAAAGTCAAATTAATAGGTGAAATTCTGAGTGTTTTAATGTAATTATGTGAGAAATTGGAAGGTTTAGTTAATTAATAATTATAAATTAATAGCGTAGGTTCCTGCCCACAAAACAAGAGGGTATATTTGTTACAAAACAAATGAATGAGCTTTTGCCTCTTTCTATTGGTAGAAGGCAGATGGCCTAATTCCTAAATCTCTACTCATTGTTTCATTGACTATTACTATTAGTATGACTCTGAGTGATTTACGCGTATAATATCAAATGGTAAGTTTAAGTAGGCAATGGCCACCACATAATCAGGTGAGATGTCTGGTCATGTATCAGATGAATAAAGAGCTACAATTCACATATTCAACGTGGCAAAAACACTTGGCATTTTAAGAAAGAAGAGAATGAACATAAAGTCATACCATATATTTAATTTATTTTAATTTTGTTGAAAAGAGAAATAAAGTTGATCTTAATATGATAATTTCGGATATAATCTAACAAAATGTAAAGTCTACAATTTAATGGTAACCTATAAATAATTATTTACTTTTTATTTTTGCATATAAACATACAGTAGAATAAGCAAATATGAAATCTAGTTGAATGATTGAACTACACTACAATCGCCTGGGTGAATTTTCTTATTCATCTTCAATCTGTCTGCACAAAGTCACAACAAATTAGATACTCTTATGTAAGTTGAGGAAGAATAAAAACTGTGACAAAGGGGGAAAAAGAACTATATATTTCTTGTTGGCCTTGTTTGGGTATAACAATCATCGAGAATGATTCAGAACATCCATCTCGGAGATGAATGAACAGCACTTTGGCGAGGTCTGTTTGGTTGCTCTGAGTTCCGCTTCTTCATGATTGAGGAGACTGTTGGGCTGTAGTAGTCATTACTCCTTTGAGAAGTTGCTCCTTGTGAATACACCTTATTCCCATGGATGAAGCTCCTTTGCTTTTCTAGCATTGTCCGGCGAGCCACTGGGTTCCTTTGAACAGCTCCCCATCTATTGTAACTCACACAACTTTGGCTCCTTCCCACTTGCTGAAACTTCCCTTCTCTAGGACTTGTATAGTTTCGACTCTCGGCAGTTTCTGCTGAGTACATTGTTGTCTCTCCCTCACTGCTATATCCATTATGCATCTCTGAAACTTCTATTGGAGATGAACTAGACTGGACCTCACTTTGGGCACCATTTACAGAGCCTGTCGAGGCAATATCAGCATCCTCAGTATCTTCATTAGGAATGGCCAACCCTCTGACCTGGGTTTGGTCTTCTTCTTTCAATCGACTTTGTGGAGGAAGTTCTTTGACACAATTCTCATGAGGGTTCAGGGACAGTTGTTTGAGTGGCTGTAATTGGACCGCGGCTTTGGCAACCTTTGGAGGGAAGTTAATATCTAATAGCTGGGTTTGGCCACTCACTTTCTTCTGAATTGGAACTGAAGTCAACTTTGGCGATTCATATATTTCTGGAGTTGGGATCCCTTGCACATGGGTAGCATGTGGATCAGTACTGAAGGTTTCTTCCTCAACAGTATTAACTGCACTGGAACAGCCTGGTCCATTGTGATCCCTAGTTTTTGATATTACATTTGATGAAGATGGCGTCCCAGCATCTTTGTCTTCTGTTGACTTAAACACCTGTCTCATTGTAAAGGAAGCACAAGAATGTTCACTCTTCTGGCCTGTGGACATCAATCTAATAATTGGTAGTTTTGGTTTCGTAAGTTCATCAAGGCTGCCTTCCCAATGCTGGTTTAACCAATCACAGATGATGGGAATAGGAATGCCAAATTGCATAGGAGTATCCTTCTTCCACGATGATGAGGAAGATGATGAATTTGAAGATGATTTTGTATTAGGAGATGTTGCTAGTTTCATAGGATCACAAATCATAAATGCAAGATTGCCTTGAATATCAAATCCAGCAGATCCAGGGCTCCATATTATTCCATCAGTTGACAGTTTAATCAGATTGTCGGTGGCTATCACCACCTTTCCCTCACCAACTATTAGTTCTTCCTTCTCTGCATAGCCTAGCAAGTAAACAACACTTCCCAGATCCAGGGTTGGTTTAGAACAGGTCTTTAAGGGATGAGGCTGCTGACCCTGGGAATTCAAGTCTCCGTCCATGGAATCTAAACCCACTATTGTAAGATCTAGGACTGAGCTTGTAATAAAGAACCTGAAACCAGATGAAAGTTCATTAAAGAATGCATGAAATTGCGAAAAAGACCTTAAAAGATGAAGCATTTTAGGAAAGTCACCATCTTTCCGCCCATTAACCTGAGCGTACGACTATGGATAAAACAGTTATATTGGGACTTAATCAAGTCTAACAAGAAAATTATTCAATTGAGCAAAGGATAAAACACCAAACCGGACTAAAAGGCAGAAGACATACAAACATGCCAAATGAACAACCAATTGCTATTGACAAATAAATATAAACGGGTAATAGAGGCAAAAACCTCAGCACATCAAACCCCAAATAGTACAACAAGCTAAACTGAACTCTAGGCATCTTGATTCTCTTATCAACTCAGAGCATCTTTAAGGATTCCCCATCAAATACTTGGGAGTTAATTTCTGTTTTCAACTCAGAGCACAATAAACTATGCTCTATCTAAGCTCATTATGTGTCAATTTGCAGAATAAATTAAATAGTGGAAAAGAAAACGTTTTTTAACTTTCATTTAAGAACTTGTAAAATTGCATACTATTTGTCACATCTAAGCCATCATGTTCATCAACAACTCATTCCTTATGACGTTCCATCACCTTGATTGTACATTCAACGTATAGAAAACAACTCCATATAAAAATACTATGGAGTCCTGAATCTTTCATGCAACAAGCTCTTACATGACAATTTGAATTTATCCTCTTTAATCTTACATTTTATCATATCATTTCTTCCTATGTGTTATATTCAGTCTTTAATCTATAATGTCTACAAGTAACAGGTATACCTGTCTGTAAGCTTCTCAGACAAGGCATCCAGTTACCCTAACTAGTTTACCAAGGAAGAAACGAAATAAATCTTTCCGGAACCTACATTGATAACTTAATCACCATATCCACAAACTCTATGATAACAAGCCTTAAACAATAAAACTAACCATATACCAATAACAATATCTAATTTTTAACATACACCATTACATACAATTGACCATATTTAGACAACAACTAGCAGCCAATTAACTGCAAATTACTTAAGCCAGCCACTAGCTTTCGACTTCCAAAGGATTATATATAGGGTTCAGGGTACTAGTTTCCAACTCGAGTTCATTGGAATTCTAGGTATAAAAAAATACATAATTCTATAAGATCCAGCATCTATACAAAGCAATTTTTTAACTTGAAATTAAAACAACTCTCAAGTCTCCGCCTAATTTCTATTATGGCCCCACGTATTTTCTCAGCATCAACATAAATCCAAATAAGTATATTAGACCCAAAATAAAAAAAAAAAAATTAAAAGTAATTAAAAAACCTGTGAGGAACGAGAGTCGCAGCAACGCCGTTTTGGAGGCGGATGTCGGCAGTCTCAGCAGCAGCGACAGAAGGAAGATTGACATGAGTAGTCAAAAGAAGATTCCGGTGGATCAAGAAACCGGTACCTGAGATCCCATTTCCGGCGGCGGAGATTCTGACCATGGCGGAACCCTTGCCGGAGAAAATGGCAGCTTTCATTCTCTCAGTTTTGGAGACTCCTTTGCAGAAACACCATGACTCTGTTAACACTCCCATTCTTGGAAGCTAATGCAGGAGTTGTGGAGTTAAACAGGTTCTAATGTAATCTTTTAGCAGTTTTAGTGTTCAGAGAGCTGGATCTAGAGTGGAAGTGTGAAGCATTTGAGTTCATGTATCCGGTTAATCGAGTAAGAAAAGGAAATGACGAGATGGTCGTGAAATGAGTAAAGGGTATGTTTGTGTGTGTTTTTGAGCTGGAATTTGGGGGCTCAAGAGGAAAAAAGAAAACGATTTTGTTACTGTAACTTTATTCTTTTAATATTCTGAATTTATTGGAATATAATTTTAACCTTGGAAAATATGGATTGGATTTATAAACCATTACCATACTTTTGATTAAAAGTATTTAGTTTAAGAAATGTTAATGTAATGATCATTATCATTTTTTTTTAAACAAAAATTATAACTAATAGAAACGTAAGTGAGCAGGAAGCATCAAGCATTGATGATGTTACCTTTATACAGAGAAACGTGGTGCTTCATACAAATAAGCCTCAATGAAGAGGGACCATTTGCTTTTTATTAATTAAACTAAAAATAATGTGAAATTGATTAGGTTATGAGATTAATAACTTGGTCATTATGCGATCATTCATAATTATCAAACTGATATTAGCCCAATAATTATAATTATTGAATCTTCAAATAATAAATAGTGTGAAATGTACAAGAGTTTCTCATTACATCAAATATTTGTTGGGTTAATCATCACATTACAGTTATCAATTAGTTAAATCAAAACCTAATTTTATTGTGAGTGGGAAGAATTTTTTGTTTTTAAATTCCTTATTTCATCAGTAAATATTGATGGGACAAATCATGTAAGTAGATAAAATAACTGCTGTAATGTTAGGTTGACGTAAAATAGTTTTGGAATTCTTCAAGTACTCGTAAAGCGTTTGAAAGCAGATTTGTTATTATTATTTTTGTTGATGACGGTTCTCCATTATGTGATACGATGGTGATATATAATATAATAGTAGCTGTTGTAGTAGGGTCACATGGCCAAAAGATAATAGAAATTGACACTTTCAATTCCGATTGATGGCAACCTAAGATAAGCTCATTGGTCAAACATTGCAAAATTAATCAACTTCCAATCACCTTGCCAATATAACAAATTAAATAATAATAAATTGAAATACTCTTTAATTTTTAATACATAAATTTTCCAATTACGCAAAAATATAAATTTCTTTTTCTTGTTAGTTAATTAAGAAGCAACTTTCAAAACATACAAGTAGACAAATCATAATATTATATAATTATTTGATTTATAATTTTAAGCATTGTGTAGATATTTTTTTTAATTAAGTTTTTTATAACTAAAAAGTTAGAAAAGATAAATCTACTAATTTGACCAAAATATTAGTCAGTAAAATTGTATCTCAAGAACTCATATTGCTCCAAATTTGAAGTTAATCAGTGTGTAATCAAAATTTTTGTCACACACCGACAGTCTGCATGAGACTGTCCAAATAATGAAAGAAAAATTCTTTAGTTTCCTCTACTTCTACTGTATACCTATTTGCACTACCAAAATGGCAGATTAAGTTTCAATCCGGCATCCCTGCCAACTTGGGTTCTTTCTTTGTATCCAAAACAAATAGAAACCATGTTCAAGCCATCAATCAGAGCCAACATCAATTTTGTTTCGCTTCAGGTATTCTTTGGCCTCTTTGATGTCCTACAAAATAAATTTTACTGAGAGACGTATAAAACTAATAGGGACAGATTAATTCTTAATAAGATGCATAATGGAAAAACAATAACTATCACCAGATTTATGTAAACTTTTCAAGTATGGTACAGACCAAATGAATTGACCATTAAAGTTGGAACAATGGTAAAAGCCATAGGTTTGATCCAACTGGATGGATGGTTATGCTAAAAATAAAAGATAAGAAAACAATATGACAGCAAAAGAAAAAAATTGCTTTACTTAATTCACTCTCTGAAGAATTTTTGTTCTAAAAGATAAACATCATCATGATGAGAAAAAAACCTCATTGCCAAGTCATTAAGGCCATTCTGATATGACTAGCCTCCCTAGTGACATGTTATTTTTTTTTTTACTTTCTTGAGGTTGGAGCAAGGGAATGTAAGGCACATAAAGAACATGAAAAGTAAAATACCTGCTGCAATAGCAGTGCTTCTTGAGGACAAGTTGGAAAACATATCAAACCAATTCCGACCATTAATAAACCGTAGCACCCCAGGGACACAATAAAATAGATAGGCAGCTGGCAGAAAGTAGCAATAGAATAAGGTAAGAGTAATCTAGTAAGAAATATAAACAAACATAAAAGCACTAGCACATATGTAAATATAAGCTTATTTATGTACGGAAGTCACATACACTTCCAAACATTCAAAATAAGAACTTGGGAGATAAAAACACTCACCAACCAAGTATGACTACATGGGACAACAGAAGTCTGCAAGAGACCAATCCAAAAGGCAGTGATGGCCACAACTAGTGTCAAGATCTTCACAACATGCTTCATTGAATTTGCAATGATAAACTGCTCTGCAATCCTGTTAATGTTTTATAGAACTACAAATTTTAGATTTAAATGAAAGAAGCTTGAACTATTAAAAAGTAAAAAGAAGGCCTTATTTGTGATTCACTTCTTGATGCTTGCACTCCTTGTTAACGGAAAATTAAAACTGTGGAGTGCATTCATCAAAGATTTAAACTTGAATACTCAAATTATGCATGCATACCATTTATGTGCCAAGCACAACTGCATCTCATATATATTATTCCCGAAGTGAAAAAACCAATTGTTAATTACACAAACTGCATCAATTGATGAGAAGAAGAGCATACAACATAAACTTTTTGACAAGTAGATGATTAACTTATTAACCATAAATGGCATCCCAAAAGTAAAATCCCAGAAAACAATCAATTTTTTACTCATTACAGTCTAAGTGAGAGAAAGCTGAATACAAAGTTCAAATAGAGGATGTGGTTGATAATCTGATGGTCAAAGCTAACAAGGGAACAACAATAATGCCACTCTTATTTTCAATCTGGAACATAAATAACCCAATTTGGTTCGTGCCCTCAATAAATAACAATTTTTTTTAATGAATATCTAATAATATCCATTAGTGAAACATCACACAATGTCACCCTAAAAAGGAAGTTCTCTGTCAAAGAACTACCATTTATTCATCACTTAAAAAGCAAATTTGAAAGCAATCAGTTCTCGGCTGCCATCAGAAGGGATAGATCATATATAGCAAATTTCATTAATCCATGAAAAATGGAACTCAAAGCCCTTGCACAATATCTCAATCATCATCTGGCAGTTCAAACAAATTTAACAATTCTAAGGTCTAAGCTACTAAGCAACAGCAACCAAGAAGCCAAAAACTAATATCAACGAGTAAAAATAATCAAATGCATACAGAAAACAAAGATGCGCAAATCCAAAATATTAAAATAAAGACAAATATCCACCGTAAAATCATATAAGCACTGCCATCAGAAGGGATAATTATTGAAAATTTCTCAAAGTCCCATTCCACAATATTAAAAGTTACAGGACTCAAAGCCCTTGCGCAATCTCCCAAGCATCATTTGGCAGTGTAATTTGTTCATCGATCTGATCCATTTATAAGCACTCTGATCACAAAGTAATCTTAGGGTTTAAGCTGTACTTACTGATTTATATTTGTCCGCGACGGATGAGAGAGACCTTAAAAATGGTAATCGATCTAGCAGCAGAGACCTAATTTCCAATTTAATTTTGTTACGATGAGTTGACCTAAATACCCTTGAGATATGATGGCAAATTTCGGGTCGGATTCCGGATATGCATATAGCTTATTTAAATAATTGTTTTATTTTTTTAGTTAATTTATTTCTTACAAATTTCATAAATTTTAATGGAAAACATCAATCAAATTTAAGAAAACGTTCTTAAGCCAGATCAATTTGGAGCATCAATCAAATTTAAGTAGAAATTATTATACGAGATCAATGTGGGAATATCAATCAAATTTACTGCTTCTATTTAAAAAAATGAAAAATCGAAAATGAAAACCTGTTGGAGCTCAGTCAACGGCTGCTGGAGCAAATGAACGGAATGAAGGCCTGAAATCTCGTCGGCGTTCCGCCAACGTTACGCGGTGGCTCGCGTCGCGTTGGAATCAGGTTGCCTTTGGTGAACGTTTGCTGGGGTCATTGGTCGAAGTTGGCTTCGCGGTAAGCGGCTTAGGTGATTGTTCTAGGTACTTTATTGGGAAGAAACGACTGTGACTGTTGTGGTTCGATACCTCGTATTTGTCGATTGAGTTTTGTTAGTTCTAAATATTCATTTTGTTATTTATGTTTTAAATATATTAATTTTATTTTAATAAGAAGATACCCGGGTCCGGGTATCTTTAAAGACCCACGGCAATTGTATTCTAATTCCTTGCGAGGATAACATTAAACCTGCATACAAACACTTTCTCCACTCGCAAAACCAAAGACAAGTGACCCCCTAATTTACCCTTCTGATCAAATCTCCTTTGCCCGAGTCGGTACGACTAGAACCATGGGCACGATCAGCGGAAACGACGTGGAAGCGGGCTTCGCAAAGCTGCAAGGCGAAGAATTCGAGTATTACATGCAGACATACTCCATAATCCTAGGTCGAAACTCCAAGAAATCGACGGTGGACGTCGACCTCAACAGCTTAGGAGGCGGCATGAACATCTCCCGCCACCACGCGCGCATCTTTTACGATTTCACGCGCCGTCGCTTCGCCCTGGAAGTGCTGGGGAAGAATGGGTGCCTGGTGGAGGGAGTTCTTCATCTTCCTGGAAACCCCCCGGTGAAATTAGATTCTCAAGATTTGTTGCAAATCGGAGATACAGAGTTTTACTTTCTATTGCCTGTGAGGAGCATTTTGGGTGGGCCTGTCGGGCCGAGGCATTATGTGGGGTCAGTGCTCCCGCATTACGGTTATGGGGGGACGGAGGCGGGGAGGATGGTGGGGTCGGTGGGGGTTACGTCAGCGAAGAAAGGGAGAGGGAGAGAGTATTATGAGGAGGATTATGAGGATGATGAAGAGGGGAGTAGTGGGAAGAAGGTCAGAAGAGAAGGAGGTTTTGAGGGCTACGGTGCTGTTAGTGGTGGCAAGCTTGGATTGGCTGGAGCATTGGGTTAGTAGTGTAAAGTTTCTTATCAGTCTGTTCAATACGGAGATTTAGCATTTGAAAATATTGTTACTTTAAAGTTAGTATTAAGTATTTGGTTAGAATTGTTTATATTGTTTTGGTGATTAATAAGACGAAAAAAGTTTATATTGTGTGGTATGCTATGTTTCTGCATTGAATTGTTTCATTGGGATCTGGTTAGTTGTGTTCTTGGTGAAGATATCATTGGGTTTTTAACATATGGTTCACAATTGTTTGATACTGCAATATTTGATTAGCATTTCTGGTATTATGAGTCGTTATTTTGATGGGCTGAATTAAAAGATTCTGCTTTAGTTTGAAAGGTATTTGGGCGTAGTAGCTGTTGGCTGGTGCTTGACATTCATTTATAAAATTCTTAAGCTGAATGTTTGCAAGCTTTGTGCCTAACATTACATATTTAGTTTGGAACTGAGGAATTTTGTACTTACTTCAACATAACAAAACTTATTTACAAACTGCTCCTAATTTTAAATGGCATTATGTAGTTTGTCACTGAATGCCATGAAGTATCAGACTATAATTGTTGTAGTTTACTAGCATAGACATTTGAGAATTAGGAAACATTTTATCAACAATGGCCTTTAGTTGTTAAAGGAAAAGTAACATATAGATCGAATGACAAGTTTTACTGCTCTAGGTTCTTAGAATGAGATGAAAAGAATTGAATCCTATAAGGTGCAAATAAAGCTTAATTTTGTTAAGTAATTCCTTTATAATCAAAATTGATTAATTTTAAATGCCATGGTGAGGGCACAGTCCTTCTCTCCAAAATTGTGCAGGTTGATGAGAATAAGCAAAATTGTCATCAAAACAAGGATACATACTGACTCTTACATTACCTATTTAGTGATATCATTTTGTTTCTCAGTTGTGCTTGAAAGGGTCACTTTTGATTTTGATAGTTCCTAATCATCTTTTCTTTTTCCTTGTGGATTCAAGGAACTGGTGTTCTTTCCTTGCGTTTCAAATATTCTTCATGTTTTTATTTGTGGTGGATTATTTTCTGTGACAAATATTCTGGAGAAGTTAATTTTGGCTTGAAATTTTGTATGCAAGCAAATTAAAAAATGACTCAAATCAGTTGCTTAGTAAATGGCCGTGAAGCTTTGACTCTTTGTGTTTTCTTGTTCTATCCAATCATATTGGTCTTCTTCAATCAGTTTCGTTCCTTTTTAACTTTTAAATTCCAGTACCGTAGATTTTGTCATTCCTCATTGGTCTAATGGTATGCTCTCTTCTTGGCATATTATTATGTCTAGTTCCCGCAGACAAGAAGGCAGAGGGAAGGTCTAGGGTTGATCGTGAATCTGATAATCAGCAACTTCTGCAGTTGGAAGAAAAGGATGTGGTATCGTCTGTAGCTACTGTTCTTTCTGATCTTTGTGGCCCTGGAGAATGGATGCCTATGGAGCGACTTTACAATGAGGTTAGGTTTTTTATACTAAAAAATCAACCGTCCTGAATTGATGCTTTGTGGGTGTGAATCATCTGTCAGTGTGCAAATGTAAGTGTTTAAATTATCATCTGTTTGCTAAATGTCTGGAACTATAAAGAGTCAGTTGTATTTTAAACCAAGTTCTTGACGAATTATGTACATATCATTATGTCCAGTTATATTTTTGGATGCCACTCTCAACAAATTGTGCTGGATGAGACTGGTTTAGTTTGTGCCTTGGCTTAAAAGCTGTTTAACAAATATATCACTATTGAAGGTTCTTGATAAGTGCCTAGGTGATAGTACTAGCTCCTCAAAAGGAACTAGTGATGATTGTTGCATTTTTTTTATTTGCACCTTACAAAATATATTCCCCAAGTATTTGTGATTGGTGCTGGAACTTTGATTGCTCAGCATAATTAATTTGCCCCTACTGGTAAGTTTTATGTCGTATTTAAATTAAAGAATTTTGGGTTTATCTTTTAAACTCCAATTCTGCATGATTCTAAATGGATATCTGAGGGGCACTAATTGTACAACAATTCATATTTGATTAATCTTTATTTGATGGGCTTTTCTCTCATGCTTTCTTTCATCTTGCGGTTTACTCAAGTTCTATGATTTTTGAACCTTGAGTCCACCTGGATTGCTTACTGTTTGTAGTTTTCTTCCTCTTGTTCAGTTGGTAGAGCAATATAGTAGTGTCTGGCATCACAGTCGAGTGAGGAGATATCTAACTGCTGAGGATTGGCCTGGTCCTGAATCCAAAGAAAAACCATGGTATGGCCTGCTTATGTTGTTGAGAAAATATCCAGAACACTTTGTGATCAACACAAGGTCCAAGGGTCGGGTAACATTGGAGTTTGTGTCTCTGGTCTCCCTACTTTCGTAACATCAAGAAGCATCAGAGAGCACTTTCCTTACACTGATTACCATAGATGCAAACTTTTCTCTGTGGGGGAAACATGGCCGATTGTTGATTTTGATAGTACTTGTGTGAATTGAGATTGAGTGGCAGGGCAGTCTTAGCACCCCTGCTTGGAAAAATGTAAACGAGTAGGTTGGATCTAAGCTTTGATATCTTTCATTTATGCCATTTCCTTTTGACGTGCTTTCTTTGTAAATGGTATATTGCTGGTAATAGAAGTTACAATCCTCGTTTAGACGAACATCTGCTTTTCATTGCGGTAATTTTTGTTTATAAACATAAGGTTCTGGAAGTCGGTGGTGTTTGTGAATGTAGAGACCCTGACTTGGTAAAGCTCTAATATACAGGTAATATCTCCAGGTCCTAATTAGCCCCACTAACAGACGAGCATTATTTTGGATGTTCTAGACATCATATCTACCGTAAACTTTTTCAAACATTACTTTTTATTGTCCCCCGTTTTCTGTAAAGCACGGAAAGAGGTAGCTTCGGTTCCATAGTATTTCAACAATATTTTCATGATCTCTGGGTTACTTTCTTTAGGATAAGGTATTGCTGTAACAAACGAGGCCTCTTTTAGATGGGTTATAGTTATTTTTAACTTTAACGTACTGTTCAGGTTTTTATTTTCAAATTAAATTTACTTAAAACTTTGGCCTTGAAATTTGATATATATATATATTACAAATCTTTCCCCTGACAGAGATGTCGTTTCTTCCACCTTGACCAATAAGCTAGCAATGAACTGACAACATGAAAACAAAGTTCACTCTAATGGCCCTCCTGCTAGTGCAACTCAATCTAATACTACTTCCAACAATTAGCTGAAGTACAAATCTTTTTCCAGACAGAGATGTCGTTTCTGACACCTTAACCAATAAATCTGACAATGAACTGACAACATGAAAACAAAGTTCACTCTAATGGCCCTCCTGCTGGTGTAATTCAATCAAATACTACTTCCAACCATTAGCTAAAGCTCAAAGTTTCAGTAAATTATTTAATGTTCCATTGACCTTCAAATAGAAGATTTTCAAATCGTAAAAACTAATTTCAATAATTATCAGGTTTAAAGTTTTTGGGTTTCCCGAGTACCTCATAGATCCTAACAGTAAAGTGTAAACAAAGGGGCAACCAAAACATAGATCCTGTTAATTTCAAAGTTCACTCTAGCAGCTGACAAAAGAACCCAAAACATTATTTTCAGCAGATAAGATGATGCAAAATTTTTATATGAAAAGAAGCACATTATCAAGATTTTTCTTTGTTTAGTTTACCAAGTGCTCGTTGTGCAAAAAGTTTTTGTTCCTGAGCTTGTTTTTCAGCAAGGGCTTCCTCATCAAGAACTTGAATTGGAGACCAATCTGGCAACGTCAACCAATCGCCTTTCTTCTGTGATTCTTGAAAATTCCTTAACAGTGGTTTTAGTTTGAGAGTAGCATAATCCATTGTTGTCCCCACAACAGCAAAGATGAGTGAGTAACGGATTGCACCAGCTTGACCACCTAAAATGCCATCAAACAGAAATTTTAACTACTACAGGAATCAAGGATCATGAAAATTCAAGATACAGAAAAATACAAGAGAACAAAAATATAGCCTTCAAGGTGAAATTCGGGCATAGCAATTTTAGTTGTAGTTCAATTTCAGCTTGAATCCTTGGTATGAGCTATCACGCAGCTCTGTCAAATATAGAATTCTCAGCATAAAAAGGATTTGAAAAAGAGCAAATGTCTAGTTACCTTAATTATAATGGATCCCATACAAAACAAGGAATGCAAATCTCACCAATAAGTGTTTTTGCATGAGAAATTAAATTAATGACTACTGGAAAATACATACCTAGGCACGAACACATGCCAGCACGCACAAACAAATGAGATAGAGCCATAAAATTTCACCTTGAAGACGCCCAAGAAGGGTACCGCTACCAAAGCCAGCAATTGCAGAGTTCAATAGATCATCAGGTCCTGTTTTTCGACTTGCTCTTACAAATTCACGTGCTCCTGTGAAATTAAAGAAACCATTACATTTCTAATTTAAACAAATCATAGAGAAAATCTTAAACTGGTCCTACAACAAAATTTTAGACCTATTTATCAGCAACTCCATTGCCAATGCTCTTGTCTTACCTCACTTGCCAATTCAAGACAGAATATGGATGCGTCATGGTAAAGAAAGAGGCCCTAATAAGTACCCTATTTTCATATAAAACCATACAAAATTCAAGCCAAGGATGCTACCCCTAAACTCCTGCATGTGTCTGTAAGGTAATGAAAAAAGTTGCTTTCCTTCACATCACTTAAGCCGATGGAAAAGACGTTAAATAAATAGTTATTTATATAATAATAATATATAAGAGTTGGCCAATGACCTATTGGTTTAACCCTTTGCTCTCCACTATGCCAACAATGGCCTATTTTTACTTTTTACTGCTTACAGTTGCAGAAAAATATGCCAATCTTTTCCATAGTCTTCCTTTTGCCTTTTTAATCAGAAATTAAAAGATATGATAAATCAGGATAGAGATTGAAAATAAGTTAGAAATCATGATTCATGAAACAACTTGTCGATAGCAGTAGAAGTCAACGATGCACAAATTAAACAGTAAAACACATGTTACTTGTATTTGTCAAGATTGAAAAGAAGTTACAAATGATCAAATAACGAACTACAAAGTATTTTATATAGCACAATAATGATGAGAGTCCACCGATGACATGAAATCTTACTGCAACCATGAAGTACAAATTCTTGAAAACCGAGGTACTTCTTGTATAATCAATATTAGATAAATATGTTAAGCAAAGAAATAAAACCTAATTTAAAAAGATTATGATATAACTGTAATTAAAAACCAAAGAAAGAGGTTATGGTATAAGCTTTAACTAACATGAAACCAAACTAAATATGCTCTATAGATGTTCTTAACATTTCTACTTAAATTAATTTGCAATTCAGTATCAATGGAACATTATAATAATGAATACGTTAAGATAGAGAGTGATAATCCGATCCAATACAATCAGTTGTAAAACACAAGGTGAGATGAGGTTTACCGCAATAACAAGCGGTAACGATGGAAAAATTAGTGGCGTAAGTAGAAGAAATATTAGCTAGGCCGTGAACTTTTCGATGGTTTGATATTAAGCCATATCCTGCGCCGGCAATCCCTGCCAAACAAACACAATTCCTAAATTTTTAACAATGAATTTATAAATTACCAAAACGTTGAGTTGAAAAAACAAGACAGACCTGCGAGGACGGTAGGAATGAAGATTCGTTCCTTCCATCCGTCAGATGACGACGACGGTGAATATGACGGTGACGGTGATGGGGGCTCTCCTTCTTGGTGCTTTGAAGACATTCGATCTTTCGTTTGTTCTGTTTTTGTTTGTAAGTACTTTTAGTTTTGGTGTGTGGAGCTGGAGCAGACGCAACAAGGAAGTGAAATGGGTCGTGTGTTTTACCAGAAGGTATTAAGCGGTGAATCGGTGATGGGCCGAATGCGGGTCCATTATTATTTTATGTTCTGATCTGTCTAAGCTTTTGGACTCCAGCCCAAACCAATAAATCTGAGATCTTAATTAGTTCATATGAAACACGAACCTCATCTTCAATGGTCAAACTATAAATCAATAATAGCTTAATTTTTTTACTAAAAATGGTGACTTAAATTTTTCCAACAATTGACAAATGAGAAATTACAAATAATTTATTTTATGTGTCACATCATTACTTTATAAATTAATGTCTCGAATTAAGCTATTATATTTATAGCTTGACCCACTTTTAATTAACTAAACATAGTTTTTAAAGAGTATTATATTTATTCCTAAATTATCCTCTTTGACTTTATCCAATTTCGGTTTTAATGGGAAACTAGGAAAAACTTGGGAAGAATCTAACAAAGAATTACAGTTTTGAAACATATATTTAATTTATTTTTAAACTTCTATTATTATTTACTAATTTCATAGTTGTGCAAACTCGTCACGGTCCAATTCTAAGGTATATTTATAAGTTCCTGTCAATTAAATAATCATTTTTTGAATCTTGGGTATTACTTAAACGTGACTTCAGTTTCCAGATTGTTACAAAGTTCTCTAAGGTCAAAGAAAACATAAGGGGAAATCGGGTTAATTTTATAAAGGTCTTTTTCTGTAATTTCAAAGCGAAGATATAATTTAATTAAAAATAAAAATTCTGACGAATTCAGTCCAGTAAACCAGCAAAGTAAAGCCTTTGAATTATATCAACTAAGCCCAGGGAGATGGCTAAATTTAGATTAATTTCCTGAAAGGAAAAATTTCTCCTTTGCAACCAATTTGCTCAAGCAATTTGAGGTACACGTACGGCGCAGGAGTTACAATTTCATGAACTGAGTATAGCTTTGCATGTTTCTGTTGCCCTAAGAATTGACGGTTCATCAGTAAGACTAATAGACTATCTAATACTTTAAACTAATTATTGCAATTAAGGCTGTAAATCTCTTGCTTTCCAAATGACTTTGAGATTGCCTTGATTTGCCCTAATAGGGGCCTTTTATACGCTGAAAAAATTGGAGGCTACTCAGCTACATGTGAACTGTTAGAATTATTCAGCCTCATTCTCATAACATTATTTTCAAGATCAGGCTGATGAGTCTGGCCCTCCATCTTCTGACCCTGAGAAGCCATCCACTCCTTGCTTAATGTCCCAGTCACCATTTTCGAATGGAGACTCAGACCTCTTATGCGGCCCTGCCCCAAGTCTTCTCTTGTACTCTGAAAATATTACCAGAGCCAAATCATTAATACATCAATGTATGAAAATTTTGATAAGCTCAATGTTTCCTAGGATGAATAACCTTACTTTTATGAGTAATTGAACGGCGAGTGAACGCCAAGAATTCGTCCCACTTGAACTGCCTAAGCTCTTGCTTCTCCTCTTCAGAGAGCTCAAAGTTGGGTTCCCTCCCACACATGAAAGCAGCCCTGCAGCCATGCAGAACAACCGATAAGTTTATCTGTCTACTAATACATCCTACCAAAAACATAGCGTACAACCGTTTTGATACATACAATTTCAATGTGTTAATTGGAATGATCTCACATGAGGGTGACCCCCACTTGGCGTTGCAACAAAGGCCAATGATACATTAATGACCTCTTAAGTATAAAGTTAGGACAAGTTCATACACAGGGCACCAGAGCTGGTGCTGCTAATAACAATATGCTTTCAATTCATCCGACAAAATAGCAGCTCTAGGTAGAGACTAGAGACATAGCCAAAATTGTAACCAAATTTAAACATTTGGGTTATTGTTTCTAAATTCAGATCAGTGTATCTATCCTGTTCATTTCAGACTTAGAATTCTATCAGGAATAACACTTGATTCTTGTGCAAGAATACCCGGATCTTATATTATTATAAAGGATGAAAAAAATTATTATCCTCTTGCTTCCTTAGAAATAACAATAAATCTCTTACTGAAAAGTAGTAAAGAAAAAGTCATGCACATCAACTAACACACACAAAAAAATATCTATCTACATGTACATGTATGCATGTGTGCACCACGGAGATATGCTTGATGAGGACTACACTTGCCTAAATAAAATCAGTGACATGTGAATGGCAGAGAGAAATTTGATATTTAACCACATCAATTGTACTTTTTGTACAGCAACATTAATCATTATGAGCTTGGAGTTCAATATATTACCTGTCATACAAACGAGCAGCCACCTCTTGTGAACCAACAATTCCCAAGTGGATTTGTTTCTTGTCCACTTTAATTGCTGCTTGCCATTTCATATTTTTGAAGCAGACACCTCTCATTAGACATGGTTCTTGATTTTGAATTTGCTTCCTCCTATGTCTCTTTCTGCGTTTGATTGGTAGCCCTATGAATAAAAAAACTGTTGGAAATTAAATAGAATAACATATATCCTAACATAATCCCAAGATCATAGTCACCATTGCAATCACATTTGTATATAAATGAACTACAATGAATTAACACAACATAAATACCTCCTTTCCTTATCTCTGAAGCAACAAAGGTAATCTGGAAGAAAAACCACGAAGTGAAATTCTCTTTACCAAATTCTAGAGAGAGAGAGTGTATTTTCTTTTTTGTTTTTTGAGAGTGACAGTTAGTAACCTTTTTTAAGAAGAAAAGTTTTTCTTTTATATGGGAACGGTTCGTGAGAAACTGCCTTTGGCAGTTTCCACTTCTCACGTCCCTTCATCATGGGTGGACTTTATCTAAACATATTTTAAATAAGAGCAAACGGGAACTTATCCAATAAAAACCATGCAGAAGCCTTAGTCAAAATGACGCAGCACAGAGAGGAACCCAACAGATATGTTCACAAGGGTATCTACAAATTTCATAGTGTGAAATTGGTTCCAAGAAATATCAGAATCCTTTTCTCACATAATCCACAAATAAATAAATAAATTGTAGATGAATATGCAACGCACGCAAGACTAAAAGCAAAATGAGCCATAAGCTGAACTGATGGACATGTCCTCCAAGAGATAAAATTGTTAAAGCCACAAGGCCCTCATGAATTGGAAAGCCAGAAAAACAAAATGGTTTTCCAACTATTGTAGGAGACTCAAGTCAGTCTAACACAAATACACATCTCAGATGATTCACAAAAAAATGACAGATCACAGCTGTATGACATAAAAACAGACAGCCAAACTTTTGACATTAATTATGTCACTCATAACTTATGAACTTTTATCAAAGAGCTACTTTTGTTTCATTTGTCAAGGACAATCAACTGGAGCACAAAGACCATGAAAGAGTAATATAGAGTGAGTTCTCCATTTTTAGCTAAATTTCAGCGAAAGATCATAGATTTTATCAAATCACAGAAATATTTTGTGATCATTAGCAGATACTGCATTAAGACCCAGAGAGTGAGCATCAACTCCTAATCAACTCTGTATGAGATCTTAATTTGTGGGTCACTGACTAGATCTTTTATAAATTACTTTGGTCTTTGGCTCCATAAAGCATACAAATTTTAAAACTGTCCTCATGAACAACTCAAAATCAATGATTGCATTCAGGATTTGCTTCTGGTTGCTTCAAGATTTAGGAATCAGAATAAAGGTATCACTTAATAACTCTGATGCACGAGATTTCTCACTTTTCTCATCGTACTATTACTTGCAGCACAATCAGTGAGTGCAAGCTCAGATTGTAAAACCAACAGTTCCTACCTGATCAGAGTCAGATGATGTGAAGAAGAGGCCTAATTTATGGGCATTTCCTTTATGGTGCCAACTTTAGCACTATTTTCCTTTTGAACTTTCCCCGATTTCTCATCCAGCAAATGAAATTTATTATAATTAAAAATTGAAAATGTAAAGAAAAATAGAATTATTTATGTCTTTATAAAAGAGAGAGAACAAGAGAGAGACACACCAGCAAGTGTCATCAATATCATATTTAACGAAAAATAATGAACTGTTGGAAACTGAAAAGTTTCTCACTTTTTGGGAGCTAGTATTAAAGTTTAGCAACTATTGGGTGTCCTTTAATGGACTGAAACTTTGGGCATTAATATGATATTAAAACGTAAGTTAATAAAGAGATCAGGCAATCGGCATTCCATGAATTTAATATTCAAATAACCATATAAAACAAATTGGGCCTGTGTATAAAAATGACCATTCCATATGCTTTAAGCTTTGAGATTAGTGGTTCCTCGGAAGATATAAACTTGTGCCCATTTGGCTATAACTAAATACCAAGATCAAGAAAAAATGTCTAAACTGACAAACCTGAGAATGATTGAATATGTTGTTCTTTTTCAATATGCTGTACTTTTGGTTTTTCTTCTGGTGAGCTTGAACCAGATACATTGGATGACAGAGGTCCTAATTTGGCAATGGTTTTCTGGAAATAGCATCGAATAATATAAAAGTTTAGAAACAAATTATGGAAACGAGAACATATAAACTTCAGATATTTGCAATACGTAAGTTCTTACTTAAAGAAGTAATTGAACTTCTTTAATGCATTTATTAAGGAGAACATGCATTTAGTTCATGTCTTTTCATCATGTACCATAAAATCAAACCCAGGGAGCAGAAAATGAGGGATTATGAATCTAGAATCTCTAGTTTGTTTGTCAAACAATAAGCAGACTTTTTAAAAACAGGCATATATTACCTTCAGAGTCAAACCTAGCATAAATTAAGATATGCCAAGTCAAGAGGCACAACCAGAACCCTAGGGGTGGACAACTCCTACCAGCTGTGTGATTCCAGCTATGAAAATCACATTATCCTAATAGACTTTTCTTGGACAGAAATGGATGTCCTAGTCTGCAATTGATCGACCAAATGTCAACCTGTAGGGCACTTATTATATCTAGAATTTCACTCTTACCAAATGACATTGGACTCCCCCTCCTCTAAATTGAAGGGGAAATCGAAAATGCAAATATGCAAGATATGAGAAAAGAGAAAACCATTGGCATAGATCTTACCTATTTGCGTTCAACTAATCCAAGTCAAATTCTTTATTTCCAGTGAGGGCCATCTCCTTCAAATGGATTATCGAAGAAATTCACGGTCCGGAACAATTTGCTATCTGTAGTTTAGAAGAATAAGAAGGTAGTAATGCTAAGGTGGTGGTGGATGGATTATGTGAGAAAATTTTCATATTCATCCAAAAGAAGTTCTCACTAACAATGTCCTCCCTGTTAGTTGACTGTAAAAAACATATAGAACCCTTCTTTTCTTTTCAATCTCATTTAACCTACTTTTAATTTCAAAAAATATTAAAACAAAATACAAAATTAACAAATATGAAAACATTTCAGAAAGATTCTACAAAATTTTGAATAAACTCCCTTTCAAAAAAATCACTGTTGATGCGTGAGTTTAGACACCAACCAACCGACACGTGCACAACGTTGATTGATCAAGAAGTACACGTGATTGAGAATAAAAAGGAAATAAATGCAATGAGAGCTTTTAAAGTGGTTCGGATGCTAAGGTAGCAAATCCTACATCCACTGATTTGTATTAATATGGTGGGTCAGGTCGCTAAAGCGGACTGACTTACAAATGATTGAAAAGTAAAATACAAAGCCTTTTTGAGAGAGATATTAAATGTCAAAATGATCGAATCCCCTTAATGAAGGGGTCTTCTTCTTCTTATACCCAGCCGAATGCGTGTAATCATCATTAAATCCTTGGGTTGGTGTGATTGTCAGAACATAATCAAGCTTTACGTCCCATTACCCACTTCCCAAGCTGATTTTACGCGATTTGGAGCAGGTAAGCGGACATGTGGGAGCTCCAGGGTGCATGGCAAGCCTGACGTGCGCTTACCATTTTGACGAGAGCAGGCCACGTCTCGTCACGTGACTCCATGTCAACCCTTTATTTCCCGAGCATAACAGAAGTCCCCTAGTTTTTAAGGTTTGAGGATCGAACTTTGGAAACTAAGTCATGCCGTGATTGGAGGTTTTGGTTGTTTCGACCTGAATGGAAAAAGCTCGGGACAGGACCTTATGCGAACACGACCTCGCGCAATTCTTTGCCCAAACGACCTGACAACCATCATTCTAACGACCTGGGTGTTAGGTAACGACCCGGTTGTGCAGCGGAAAACAAAAAATTTACAACCACGGATCGTTCCTTAGAACCCAAAATCAAGGCACAGATTTTACAGTTTATNTCCAGAATCTCAAGTTTGTTTGCCAAACAATAAGCAGACTTTTCAAAAACAGGCATCTGTTACCTTCAGAGTCAAACCTAGCATAAATTAAGACAAGGGTTGGCCAATATGCCAAGTCAAGAGGCACTACCAGAACCATAGGGGTGGACAACTCCTACCAGCTGTGTGATTCCAGCTATGAAAATCAGATTATCCAAATAGACTTTTCTTGGACAGAAATGGATGTCCTAGTCTACAATTGGTTGACCAAATGTCAACCTGTAGGGCAATTATTATATCTAGAATTTCACTCTTACCAAATGACATTGGACTTCCCCTCCTCTAAATTGAAGTGTAAACCGAAAATGCAAATATGCAAGATATGAGAAAAGAGAAAACCATTGCCATAGATCTTACCTATTTCCTTCATCAGGAAAATATTGTTTGGTGAAGTTAATTTATTGGATATCAAATATGGAGCACTCAAAGATCGAACTCCTTATTTTTTCCCATAGACAAGATCCCTTAGTTCCCTTCCATATAGCAAAGCCACATTTTGCAATACATTACATAGCTTTAAGTACACAAACATCAAAACCTTTTCACAGAATAATGCACTTTTAGCACTTAGGCATAAACTAATTCCCACATAAAGATAAAAAGGAAGTGATCAATTTTAAAAAGGAGCAGTTTAAGGTATGATAGTTATCATCTAATGATTTGAGTATCAATTTTTTGTATATTTCGCAACACAGCAAATTTTGCATAACTTGGGAGATGGCCTTCCCCATTAGTTATATAACCAAATATCTAAAAGAAAGATTCTCTCTGGAAAGAAACCTGGTATAAGCAACTATGGAAGGCTATTTTTCTGTTTTTCCTTTCTACACAACAACACAATTTAGAGCTTTGATAGCCCTGGCAACAAGCTATATAATGTACAAAACTGCAAAAATACCATGATCTTTAATTCTAAAAATGAAATGGTCAGAAGTATGTCATATCAATGTATACTAAAAATTGCTTAAAGTAAGGCCTTCAAAGTAAATAGTGACCTATCTGATCATGTTATTATAGCTATACATCATAACCCCTTACCCACGGTGACTGACTCGCATCATCCGATGAAATGGGATGTACACTGACAGATTTGGCGTTCAGGGTCTCAGAAGCAATACCATTATCAGTATTCCTAGGAAGTGGAGCGAGAAAAGAACTTTTTCCTGCAAAGGCACACGAAAATTTGGTTATTAATATCATTCAAGCATGATATACAAGCTAAGAGAGAATATCATTCTTAGAAATTGTAGATTACTTAAAAAGAATCATCTTTTATAGTGCAACATATAGAGAACACATTTTACATGTATCAACAAGTGTATAGTCTTGCAAACTGCTAAGGTATAGTAGAAGCATTTAATCAACACGATGTATAGTGGCACATTTTGACAAATGCTTACCAGAGCAGAGTCCCATGAGCTTGCGCCTTCTTAAACTCACCATGATGGACCTAAATATTTCTAAGATTACACAATGCTTTAGTTGATGTCCTTTAGCATCTAGCAGTCCACTCCTAGGGGCTAGGATCATCAGAGACAGAACAAACAAGAAGACATTTGAAAGTAAATTTCAGATGGCAAAGAGTTATAACTTAAAACTATTAAAAAATGAATCCACAATCTGAATAGGAACAAGAAACATTATCATAGAAAGTAGCATGACAAGTAATAGTTAAAGAAAGAAGAAAAGTAAAAACAGAATGCCGGTAGCCCTAGAAAAGAGGATTAGAAGAATGTATTTTCAAGTCATTCAGCTGAAAAAAAAAAAAAAAAAAAAGAGAGAGAGAAATTTAACAGTTTTCTTAGCCTAACATAACCCAAGCTCTTAGTCAAAAGAGCAACCTTTTCAGTTCAATGCCTATTAAAACCTGAAAGGAACTTTGTTAAAACTCGAAAGCAACTGATTTACAACAGAGAAGTATGTAACCTACAAAAAGAAAAACTGAAANAACAGTATGTCATATCAATGTATACTAAAAATTGCTTAAAGTAAGGCCTTCAAAGTAAATAGTGACCTATCTGATCATGTTATTATAGCTATACATCATAACCCCTTACCCACGGTGACTGACTCGCATCATCTGATGAAATGGGATGTACACTGACAGATTTGGCATTCTGGGTCTCAGAAGCAATACCATTATCAGTATTCCTAGGAAGTGGAGCGAGAAAAGAACTTTTTCCTGCAAAGGCACACGAAAATTTGGTTATTAATATCATTCAAGCATGATATACAAGCTAAGAGAGAATATCATTCTTAGAAATTGTAGATTACTTAAAAAGAATCATCTTTTATAGTGCAACATATAGAGAACACATTTTACATGTATCAACAAGTGTATAGTCTTGCAAACTGCTAAGGTATAGTAGAAGCATTTAATCAACACGATGTATAGTGGCACATTTTGACAAATGCTTACCAGAGCAGAGTCCCATGAGCTTGCGCCTTCTTAAACTCACCATGATGGACCTAAATATTTCTAAGATTACACAATGCTTTAGTTGATGTCCTTTAGCATCTAGCAGTCCACTCCTAGGGGCTAGGATCATCAGAGACAGAACAAACAAGAAGACATTTGAAAGTAAATTTCAGATGGCAAAGAGTTATAACTTAAAACTATTAAAAAATGAATCCACAATCTGAATAGGAACAAGAAACATTATCATAGAAAGTAGCATGACAAGTAATAGTTAAAGAAAGAAGAAAAGTAAAAACAGAATGCCGGTAGCCCTAGAAAAGAGGATTAGAAGAATGTATTTTCAAGTCATTCAGCTGAAAAAAAAAAGAGAGAGAGAAATTTAACAGTTTTCTTAGCCTAACATAACCCAAGCTCTTAGTCAAAAGAGCAACCTTTTCAGTTCAATGCATATTAAAACCTGAAAGGAACTTTGTTAAAACTCGAAAGCAACTGATTTACAACAGAGAAGTATGTAACCTACAAAAAGAAAAACTGAAAAAGCAAAAAAGTTTTTCCATCAAAGGCCCCTTATCTTACTTGACATGGTATAATCAAAATTCTCACAATGTGAGCTATGTACTTTTTATTAAACTAATATCTCCATTTAAAGAGGACAATCTATGGGTGTCAGCTTTTATTTACAAGCGAAGCAGCTAAAATACACAACACTCCCATTATATCAGAAAAAAAATCACAAGGAAAAATTAACAATAGATCCCATTAAATTTGAACAAAAGCCTACTTGTAGCTTAGATTGAATATGCAGTTTTAACGAACAACATCATTGATACCTATACCACACCAACCATTCCCACATAGAATTAGAATAAGAACCAACCAGTACGCTAAACATTTCACGAATCTTTTTGAGTCAACCCCGCTTGAGTTGGGGTCAAAAGCTAAATCTTTTTTGTGGATACAGAAACAAGGTGACAATTATAAGCAAAGCAAGAGTTAATTAAAACAAGAATACGTTGGTAAATTGTATAAAGCAAAACCCGAATAACACTCATGTTAAACTAAACAAATTGCCGAAAAGTGGTTTCTTGATAAAGAATTGTTAGTCTACCTCCATGAAGACTAAGTCAACCCCACCAACCTACCACCTTTGATAGCCAAACAAAAATCAAGAAGAACCCACAAAGCCAAAACAAAACCACCACCCATCAAAGAAGAAGAATGCGTAGCCATGAAAAGCACAAGCAGAGGTAGTCACTACACAAAGATAATAATAAAAAAAAAAAAGTCATTCGTTTTTTGTATGTACCTGAGCGAGAGTGATAGAGAGATAAGAAAAAAAAGGTGGTGGTTGAGAGAGCGTAGAAACCAAGGCGAGAGAGAGAGAGAGAGAGAGAGGAGAGGTTTAGTTGAAATCTGAAAAAAGGCAAAGAAGGGTATTAGGATTACAGAAAGGGAAGGTGGCCAGTATGTTTAAAGAGACAGAGAAAGAGAAAGAGAAAGAGAAAGATGAAGAGAGAGATTTTATATGTGTGAGTGCTTGTGGCTCATCTCATGCATCATCAATCTATCTACCACCTTTTGTTTTTGGTGTTTTTATAGCGGTCTTGCCATTCTTATGACTTTTTATGATGAGAGGTTGTGCTGGTGAATTAATCAACTTTTTTCCTTTGGAAAATAAAACGATGAGTTTAATCAATAAGAGAAAGCTCAAAGAAGGGGAACGTATGCTTCTTCTATGTTGTACTTTCTACTTCCTGTTTTGCCCTTTTCAACTTTGCCCCATTACCACCCCAACTAGCTCTCTTTTGGCATTCCTTTAATTACTTTTGTGCCCCTCTAATTTTTATTTTTTGCACGTGTATATATACATATTAGGAAGTCAGTCAATACTCAATAGAAAATAGAAAAGAAAACTCTGTTACTGTTACGAGTTTTATGAAGAAGATTGATGTGAAGGTAATAGTGATACCCGAAATGGAAAGAGAAAAAGGTAAAGTTATTTAATTGGATAAAGATTAAAACAAATTTTAACTTTACAAGTGATTTTATACGTTATCAAACAGAGTGATATCATATGGTAGTATTTAGCAATTATTTTTTTTACATAAATAGATGCTGACTAATATGGCATACGAAAATTGATAAATTATCAAGTTTGGACCGGTTAAAATAGCAAAAATTATCATATGGTTAAAAATAATTTTGATAATTTATCCAATTAATTTTAAGATACTTGTATGACTTTTGAGTACGGGTATTCTAGGTAAATTTGTTAAAAAAACCATGCATAATAAATCATACATTAAATTATATTTACTTTATAATCATCTATTATCCTCAAGTAAAACTGTAAAAATAGTTTTACTTTGTTATCATGAATGATGTCCAAGTACGGGTTATTTTTGTCATGTTATATAAATTTTGTTGTATTTGCCTTGTTTCCAAAGGAACAAATAATTGTTACTTGTTTGACCAAAAGAAAATGCACTTGTAAAAAATATCTAAAGGAGGAATTGCACTGTTTAAATAATGAGGCTGTCATTTTATTATGGAAACAAAATATAATTTCCTATGTTTCCACATAAAACAAAAATATATAATAATATATGTGTTTCTATTTATTTCAACTTTTAACTTATGGTATAAATTCTTTTATAACAAAAATATTGAATTTACTTTATACAATATAAATTCAGTTACATTCTATTCAAGTATAATAAAAACAAGATTTAAGAAAATAAATATATTAACTGGATAGGGTCTGTTGGCAATATTGCAAGTTGAGGATGAAGGATAATTATGTAAAATAATATAAGGGACAGCAAAGGGAATAAAATGAAATGTGTAGGGTAGTCAATGGGCTTAGAGAGATTAATATTAAGTGTAAGTTAGTTAGTAGGCAGGCAGGCAAAGGCAGATGGCACCGACGAAGTTCTGATTGGATGGGCGGCCTGTCATTGCTACACAAGGCTTTATGTAGATACTAGATAATGTCCCGCCAGCTCCAACCCTAACCCTTTTCACTCTACCTTATTAACTCCATCAAATTTTTTCCCCTTTTTTTTATAATTAGGGTGTTCAGATTAGCTTTTGCATACTCAATTAATTTTTAGGGTATTTTAAATACTCTATAGATCTAAAGAATCAGGTAAGTCACAACGTGATAAATAATCTTAAAGTTCGAATCTAATAAACCAATAAAGAAAATTAACCCCGTCAATTTACCGACTTATACATTAATAATTAGTAATATTTTAAGTTTTTTATCTCTGAGTATAATGATTTTTTTCTTTCACATAGGATTAGTATTTATATTGTGTAAAGTGATTGTAAAAATCAATAGTCACTTGTATTTATATTGTATTATAAAGATCAAATGGATTTGTCATATACAGTATTAATATTTTTATTTATTTATTTTTATTCTGACTTAAGGTTAAGAATTATCATAATGTTATCTATCTTGTCATATCAACTATTTGAATTAGAATCTAAATGATAACATCCATATATATGTTTGAATTTTTCATAAAAGGTATCTTTGGGACTTAAAAGTACGAAATTTAGTGTGCTTAAAAATGTTAAATTATTGATAAGCCCTTTATTTTGTTAAAATTAATAGTCAAAGAAAGGCCGAAAAATACATAACTAAACAAGTTGTTTGATAAAGGTACGCTTAACCTACGATCAAAAAACATTTGATTAATTAAAATGAAGTCAATTTGAGTGGAAAAATAATTAGACAAAAGAAATAAAAAAAATAAAAAAATTCATTCAGTAGGTGGAGGTGTCCAAGTCACGAAAAAGACAGACATCAGCGGTCGGCCCAAAGCTATCCTTATTTAGCCCATTATCATTCTCTGCCTCATGGCAAAATTTAACCCTCTTCACACCTCTTTATTATGTGTACGTGTGAGCCGAAAGTAGCCGCAGGATCATTTGACTTTTCTACGTTTTTATGGTCGTTTCAGAATTATAGGGTGTACAAAGACACGCGTTCGATTGGGTCCAATCTATTTGATCGGGGGATTGGTGCCGTTGAATGTTGCTCGCGTGATTTTCGTTGTCTATCTGACGGTTAAAATGTTATAAGGGCTTACTTTTACCGGATGAAGGATTTAAGGACAATTATCGGCACAATTTCTGATGGTCCAAATTCGAATACAGTTCTCCATCTTTCACAGTAGATATTAGGTTGTCTTTCAAGAGCAAAAGACTTTTTCACACGGTTTAATCATATTTAATTACCCAATTTTTAAAATACTATTATTACCTAAATTTATATTAAGATTTCGATTATGATATCATTGAGACTCACACATGACACAACCATCATTCACTTCCTTGATTATAATTTACCAAAACCTCTCAAACCCTACTCCTGTTAACTTTATCAATGGCTGACAATCGAACAATTAGGGTTTGCGTAACTACTCGTCCTAAGTAAAATTTTAATCAATCCTAACCACCAAATTTCAATCTTTCACCATCAAAAGACTTATTGATCTCCCATCTTCAAGAGCTCAACAGTTTAGACTGAGTTTGCTCTCTGTTCATTATTAGAATATAAATTTAGATAATAAAATAGTATTTTAAAAGTTTGTTGATGATGAAATGTCATTAAATCATTATTTTGGTAGAAAAAAGTTTATATTATAATTTACAATAAGAGGTTACAATGAATTAATGATATCTTATAAAGAGATTAAATATTTAATTAGGAGAATGTCATATATTTAATAAAAATATTTTGAACGTTTTTACAGAAATATGTTGTAAAAAGAATCTTATAAAAATATTTTAAATTATTGCAAAAATAATGAAAATTCTTTATAACATCATGGGCCAAAATCATAGTTATACTTGGGTTCAACATAGTGGTCTTTGAATTTTGGGTTGGGCCCGTCGAGACCTGCTTCTAAGTTTAGGGGCGAGGAGGAAGAAGAGCCCGAACCACCCAAAGTCTCTTCTATAAATGCATATCCGTAGACTTGTCAAACGTAACCTGTTGCGAAGATTATAGAAGCTGCGCGACGACAGAGAACTAGGGTTTTAAATTACTCAAATCTCCGAAAATGATCTACGACGTCAACTCTCCTCTCTTCCGCTCCTTCCTCAGCCAGAAGGGTGGTTCTTCTGACAAGAGGTATGTGTTTCATGACAAGCATCTTCCCATTTTATCGTTATTGTTTTTTATTTCATCCGTAATGATTACTGATTAAGTTAAGGTATCTGATACGTTTCAAAATGGACCATTATAGTAGGATAACCAATTTTGTTAGAATGCTGATTAAGAAAGTTATATTCGAGTCGCTTTAACACCAGTTGGGTTCTTTTTTGGTTTGATTTGAAAACGAAAAGTTATAGATATTGGATACATGTAATTTAGAAAAGGTTGAATTAGAGCAACAATATATTTGGTTTTCTGAAACACTGAATTCCCTATGATATCTAACTAGGCTCAAGTTGTAATCAGCGGGTTTAGTACGTATTTTTTTGCAGGATGATCCTTGGTCTTATTTTTTTGAACATATTTTGTGTTGGGGGGATTTAATTGAATAGTAACAAATCCTAAATCACTGAAAGCGAAAAATAGTGCGAACAAAGGTGGTTCACTCTCCTTATGAGAGCTACGTCCACTTTGCCGCTACGGAATTTCACTATGAAGAAGAAGAAAAGAAATTGCAAGAATCTCTCACAAGCCTCAATAATTGGCTCACCCACTAAACCCTATTTGATGGCTCTCACTCTTTAATTGTGACTTTGCCTTCTATTCTTTTTGTGATCTCTAACTCTAGGACTTAACCCTTTTTATAGGTAATACGTGAGACACAATCCTAATAAGACTCAAATCTCATATTTTAATTCCTAATACAATTATAATACTATTTCCAATTGTATTCCTAAAAGAAAACAATTCTACTTAAATACAAATTAGGAAAACCCATGTCCTAATCCAATTCTAATTTGAATTGAATTTGGCTCCATAATCTCAACATTTTGGATTCATTTTTGACAGAATTTGGCATGCTTTTAATCCATACGGTAGGAGTGTTTTGATTTGAGATGGTTTTGGCATGTTCTGATCTGAACTGAAAAAAAATTAGAGACCTGATATGATGGTTACTGACTGATTTAGCCTTGACTCACCATGAATTTCCCTACCCTTGATAGTCTTGCAAGTGGTGGAATGATGGGATGTGATATCCGACCTAGCCCCTAGGGGTGTTGAACCTTTGTCCTCTTGTTTGAAATTAAAAGTCTTAATAGTGACCACTCATCTCCTGGGTTGATATCAGAGGTTTCCAGATTGGTCTGAGCCCTGAATTCGGTTGTTTGTCTGAATTAACTTACATATTGCATTGTTTTCAATTGGTATTGATTCATATCTTTATTTACTACTTACCTACATAATGGCTAATACCAGCTTGAGCAAGGAATCATGAGATTATGATTTTATTGTTTAATTGTTGTAGAGTATCCATTTCGCAGTTTGTAAGTCCTTTGCCAATGTGCATATATACAATGAGATTCATTTCTCTACAACTTCTTTGATCTTAATGTACCTGTACAGTTTTTTCCAGAACCATTAAAATGCATTTCAGGTGCATGTTTATACTTTCAATATGTTTTTGGTGTATGGTTTTAACTTTTCTGGGATATTTCAGGAAAATGGAAGAACAGAAGCCAAAGGAACAGAGACCCAAAGCTAACGAGAACAAGCCAGTTATGACAGAATGAGAGGTGCAATGAAGCATTAGGGATGAGATAGGATGCTAGATTATTCTCAATGCTATTAAAAATGTTGTTGATTTCAAATTCAAAGTGAAGTAACTCATGGCCTTTTGAGTTTGTAGTGGTGTGTCTGTTTGGATATGGATGTTACTTTTGTGGGACAAAAATCATTTCATTCTGTTATGTGAATGATATATGGTAAGATTAAAAATTTTCTGAGCGATTGTGCATCTTATATACTATAAGTAAGAGAACGTGTGTTGTTTGTATGTTATGTATGTGGCTGTTATCCTACCCGTTAAAGTTTGATAATAGTTTTGCTCAAATTTGGAGCATTTATTTTGAGCATCTTTTTTATCCATGACTAATTTACCACCAAAGGTTCTAGATACACCGTGGTTATGGTTTATCATATGTTATCTATACTCTCAAAGAGGACAAGGTGGATAAATGTTTCTTTTTTCTTTTACCACGAGACCCAAGTAATGAAACTGCATTTTTTCTCCATTGCAATTTAATTTAGGCCGATAATAGGAGTTGATTTATGTAATTGATTCTGGAACGACAGGAAAAATTCGTTTTCAGTTCGGTCGAGGGTCTTAGTGTTAAGGCATAAAATTCAGGACTTGCGTAGCCCGACCTTGTTTCTAACAAGAAATTAATTAAATTTCTTTATTAGTTATCAAATAACTATATCTTTAAATAAATTACAGCGGCTAAGTGTATACCACATGGAACCAACCAACAGCTAATTAAGATGATCATCCTCTATGGAGCCAATCGCCAATAAAGATGATCATCAATGTGTCGATCAATTTTTGGAGAACTCCCAAGTCTCCAATTAGATGAAAGTACCAAGCGAAGAAGTAAGTTAAGACTGCAGAAGGTTATAACATCACAGAATACAGAAACTCTCATAAATTACTACTGGACAAGCAACGGACTAAGAGGAAGTTTTCTTCATTTTCCATGTCCATTCAATGGATTTTATTTTTCCGAGTCTTAAGAGTGCCGAAAGTTCTGGGTTAAAATATGATATTATTCTTGGGCGATATTTGAATTGATATATATATATATATATATATACAGTGCTGGGATGGGCTACGGCTTAAATGTTATTCCCTATCCACCATACATGGTCTCCAGAATACATGATCTGTTGAGTTCTTCTTCTGCACCTTCTTACACACTTGCTGGTTGAACACCGCCACTTTATGAAATCATATCAAAAAATTATTATTAAGAACTTTCCATTGTCAAACCATTGGATGTTAACATGGGGATTTCTGTGCAGTTAAAAGAGAATGGAGAGAGCGATTTAGCCTGCAACCAAGATCGCTAAATGGTATTGCTGACATGATTACTACTGACTCCCTGATCAACAAATTAATCTTTTAGCTTAAAATTGTCAAAATGTATTTACCATCTCAGGTTGAGGTTGCTTACCTCATGAGCATTGATGGAGTTTTCTTGTTTAAAGTAGGTGTGAGTGGTGTCATTTTTGAGTAAGTAGTACTGAATCCTAGTTGTTAGCCAACATATGAAATAAAAAATGTGGGATCTCTGATCTGTTCTCTATTCTGTGTATTTGAGAGGTTGGGATATTTTTGGTAAGAAATCGCATATGCTGAGGACTGTTGGGAGAAGCTGGCAATATTGGATCCTATACTGGGGTTGGCCCCCATTTTATCTGATTCTATTTCTAATTCTAATTATAATTCTAGGTGGTGGTAGTGGTTTTAACTAATGGAAGAAAAAGGAGAGTATCTGAGTTTCCAAAAATCAACACACAACACAAGGTCGTCAAATAGAGGTTGCTTTGGGTGAAAGGGAAAAGAGGTAGGTATCCTTTTTGTCTGTGGTTGAATATAAAGTCGAGTGTTTTAACAGCCCAAAAGCTATGAGAAAACAATTAGTTTAGTCTTGAGTGGGACACATATAATCGTTACCCATTGTCAATAGTAGGGGCCTCCTTCAGCATGATTGCTTGGAGGCCTTTATGACTCAGCGCAGTCTACAACTGCCGCTGCTCTCGCTTATCCATCTTTAGGACCAATTCAATACAACCTACACAACCCTATTTGCGTTTCAATCGGAAATTTGATTTTTAAATTGGTATTCGAGAGTGTTCGGACCAGTTTACACGTACTTCAATTAGTTCTATAGGATCATGAAGTTAATTGTCTGATAAATATTTAATAGTTATCTCTTATTAGTAGTTGTAAAGATTCAAACTCAAGAACTCTTGAGTAATATACCCAAAAGTCCTAAGAAAACTGTCAACCTATGATTATGAATATCTATTCATTATTAGAATGTAGAAAAGAAAATTAGTCCAATCTCTTCATATATCTACTTGGCTTTTTGTTTTTACCAAACGGAGGGTAAAAATGTTTCAGATAGCTGGAGCTACCACCAAAGATTCTTTTCGTAATTTTCACTGCTCTCTGACTTGAAGGAGAGATGGAGAAGTTTCTTTTTCTTTTCGAGTTGCGCCAATGTTTCTTTCAATAGACAAGATGTTTGACAGGTGATTTTAATGGTCAAAATAAAGATAGAAAATTTAATTGCATTAAAAATGAATAAAAAGATATGATAAATAAAATGGTGGGTCTGAATTGAGGTGAAAAAGCAGGGGACCAAAGAGTGCATGCACTTGAATGGTTATAAGTGGTTTCCCATGTGCAACCATTTCTACATCCTAAACTCCAAAAACCCCTCAATCACCTCTTGTCTCCTCTCTTAATCAATTCCTATTTCTAAATCCACTTACATAAAACCTCTTTACCACCTTCTCTCAATCACTTTTTCTACCTTCAACTTCATCTTCTTTTAATATTAATTTCATTTTAGCACTGTCAAATTATGATAGTTGGTTATTGAATTGTTCTCTTCTCTGCAAATTATTAATCACATATCAGATTTGTGTTATGAGGCATTTACTTATTTGATGGTCAAGGATCCAAGCTCGTCAATTAGATGTTGAAGGGTTTTATGATGAATTTAAGAATGGCTTACTGGTTAGATAATCTACATTTCATATGGGTGATGAGAAAGAAAAAACAAAGAAAAAAAAAAAGATGCCAAATGTAATTACAGCAATCCAAACAAATCTTTGACTGGAAATAAAAAAAAATTAAGATAACAAAATTTTAATGGTTTTTGCTTCAAAACTTGCTGCTCAGCGTTAAAATCCTATAAATGTAATCAAGAAGCTGGTGCTTGAATGACTCAACTGATAAACAAAGAAAAGAAAAAAAGAATCCCAAACTGAGGTTAGTCAAATTTGTCTGGATCTACTGTATTAATATTTTATTTCTTAGTTTATTTGATTGATGTACAGGTGATGAACCATTTGACTAACGATAAGTGAAAGTGTAGATTTTATTCTGTCCAATTAAGTTTTAAGACATTTGTCATTGCATTATTAATCAGTTCATATGCAGAACCAGGCGGTGTTCGGGTCAATTACTTAGTTTGTAGAACCTTTTTTTTTTGTTCTTTTACATCAGACCACCCACAGGTGATATTACAGAATCAGCTACTTCCAAACAAGTTGTGTTTATTCCTTGATATGTGGCACTTAGGATATAATTTGCTTTAATAAGATCATGTAATAATTTATATAGATGTGATGATGATATAAATGGTGAGCAAATTGAAAAAAGGGGATCCCAGTTGTTGGTTGTAGTAAAAAGATTAATTGACAACAGGGAAAAGCAGCTTCTAAAAAAGTGCTTTTTTCTTGCCAAGATCGTTAGTTATACAATCTGTCTCTCTCCCAATCTTGATATCTCTCAGTCTCATTCCTTTATTCACGCCGCTCCCTCTTCCAATTTCACGCATTCTTCTCCCCATTTTTCTTAAAACAATCACCTATCTTCTTCCTACTCTATATTATCCTGTTCCATTTTCTTTCATTTCCCAAGAGAAGAAAGAAAGAAAATGTCAGAATTTTCTTTCTCATCACCAAACACTACCAACTCCAAGAAAACTCACTACTACTTGTCTAGTCTTCTTCTCTCTGACTTGTTCCTCCTCTGTTCTTTCATTGTTTCTCACCCTCTCTACTTCTCTTACTTCATTTTCTTCTCACCATACATTATCAAGATCCTTTCTTTCCTTTCTCCTCTCTTCATCACCACCTCTCTTTTGCTTCTTGCTCTCTTCACCACTCTTCTCCACGACAATTCTTCACTTGAATTCTCGTTTCAAAATGTCTTAGACAATTTGCGCTCTAATGCAGACGATGAAAACCAAGAATTTCGAGGCTTTGAGGAGCTTGAAGCCTATAAAATTGTGTTTGATACGTCTATTCTTGAGATCAGAGAAAGTTGTGTTCAAGATTCTGAAGAAAATTGCTTACCAAACTTCGAAGAAGCACCTGTGGACAAGCATTCAATTCATGAAACTTGTGGTACAAATGTATCACAAGGTCTAACAAGTAATGTTAACGAAAGCTTAGCTGAGATTATGCGGGCTGAAACTACTGAGCTGATTGCGGAAGGTAAAAGTTTAGGAGGGTTCTTGAAGGAGGACCATGAGTTTGTCGATGTAACGTGCGAAAAGGAAGAAAAAGAAGTCAAGGCCAAGCCACTAAGCGTAGAGTTCAATAAAGGTGATCATCATCAAGAACAAAAAGAAGCAGCACTAATGAACGGTGGATCCAAGGCACTAGACAGTAAAATAAGTGATGAAGGCAAAGTGACTGATGACAATGGAGTGGTGGAGTATTTGTCAAAAGTAAAAGCGAATTCTCAGAGACTTGGGAGAAATCATAATGATGGAGGAGAGTACCACACTTCAAAAGTTATGGATATTAATTATTCTCAACCATTAATGGGTGGGTCAAATCTTGGTAGTTTTGGATCAATGAGAAAAGAAAAAGAATGGAGAAGGACATTGGCATGCAAGCTTTTCGAGGAGAGACACAATGTAGATGGAAGTGAAGGGATGGATTCGCTCTGGGAGACTTATGAGACAGACTCAAATAAGCTTCAAACTAGAAACAAATCAAAGAAGGGCAAGAAAGGTGGCAGTAAGCACTATGGGGATAATGATGATGAAGAAGAAGAGGATGAGATTGATGATGGCCAATTGTGCTGCTTACAAGCTCTCAAGTTCTCAGCTGGGAAGATGAATTTGGGAATGGGAAGGCCTAATCTTGTCAAGTTTTCCAAGGCACTCAAAGGAATTGGATGGTTGCACAATGTGACAAAGCATGGCAAGAAGATCTACCATTGAATTGAATTTCGGTGGTTGCACTTTCACCCTCTTGTTTTATGTTTAATTAATGGGCATAACATAAATGTGTATTTCTTTGAGGATCTTAAGTAAATATGGTCTTTTTTTTTTTCTTCTTCTTCTTCTTCAACCCCCAAAAATCCAGAAGCTAGTTAGTGCTTGGTTAGACTGTTTTCTATATTGCAGAAGAACTATAGTTTGCTACTTTGTGTGGATGGTTTTAGTTTTAGGGGAATTTTTTGTGTGTTGAGTGGCTCATAGTTGGTAGATTACAAATATTACAATCATACTGCAATGTCCCATGCATAAGGCCTAGAGAGGTGGTTTAACATTATGTATAATAATTGAATCAATAAAGTATAAGACATGTTTTGGGCCATTCAGTTATGTCACATGTGGCATGCAGATAACTTGCCAGACAATAACCAAATGGGAGTTCTACCCAATTGTTTGATAGATCTTTATTTGTGGTGGTATGGTTAAAGCATCCAAGGCAGGCCAAAGGTTGCCATTTTCTGCTGTTATATGTTAATATTAATACGCTGCCAGAGATCTGATTTTTTGCTGATTTCTATAGACTTTCTACTTCTTACTCTTCAATTAGATTCACTCGGTTGAGTTACGCAGTATGACTCTCAACCAATATGCCCTTGACCACGTCTTCGCTCCAGTGTATATATCTCTTTGTTGTTGAAAATTATTACTAGTGTAAATGGATTTCAATGTCCAACTGGAAATGAGAATTTATATATTGGGCTCATACCTTCTTACAGCACTCTCTGAACTATAAATTCTGATCTCTAACTGTTACAGGAGAGTTGGGTTGTTGAAGAGATGCTTATTTCTATATATGTTACCTGGAAAAACTATAGATATTTAATACAAATCATCTCAAAAAATAAGTTTCTGTTAATGATAGCCTACAATCTTGGTTACTTTTATAAGCTCGTCTGCCAACTGGTACCGACTAATTTGAAGTTAAAAAATTGATGGGATTATTTAGGTGAACTTTAATTGGAGACTCTTATACATATATGCTGCGAAAACATATGTAGAATACAGTTACAATCGATCAACAAGTACTAATGTTAACTAGTATAACATAAAGACATAGACCAAAATATATACCCATACTAGTAGAAGAAGAAGAAAAAATGTTTTAAGTCTTTAATTAATGCTTGTGTGTAGTTACGCGGGAAAATGGAGTTACTATTAAAACACTCTCTCAAGTTTTGAATAAATTAAATAGTCATGAAATTTATCACTTTAACACATATCGCTTAAGATATAGATAAGCTTATATCGCTTAAGCGATAAATTTATTAATCGAATGATCATTTGGTAAAGAGTTTCAAATTTCGTAAATATTTAATCCATTCTAAACTTGAAATGATATTTTAATTAATTTTCCTAAAAAAAAATGTATGCATATGATAGGTCATGAGAAGTTTAATTCAGTTAAATTTTAATATAAATTCTTATACAAATCAACGTATTTTAATATGAATGAGTAACTTAAAGAAATACAATATAAATACACATTTGATTAATCTTTATGGGGAGACTAGAGAATTGACTCACTGTCATATCACTTAAATATTAGGAGATAAAATATGTGTATGTTGACCCGAACATCTTAGTAAAAAAAAAAAAGGACATGAAAACACACAAGATTATGGTATTAATTTATACTGAACATTTCATAGATATTTCATTGAAAAGGATTAAAATAAATGACAAAACATCATATTGTAGCTGGATTCTGCTGGAATAAAGTTTCTGTAGTGACCGACAGTAGTGTAACGTAGCTCAAATTTGACACCTGGATGAAAGAAATTTCATATATTAAAAAATAATTCTTCCTTTAATTACATGTAATTATCAGAATGCATATCATCCTGGATTTATTAAATACATGAAAATGACCATCATCTAACTTGTATTTAAAATAGAATGTGCAAAGTTGTCTTTTTATTCTTCATAAATCGTACATCTCCTAAACTTTAAAATACAAAATAATAATAATAATAATAATAATAAGTTAAAAAAAAAAAAACCACTAAAGCGTTCACACTCCTTCGGCGTTGCAGCCAGTCTCCAAGTGGCGCACCGACACTAGCAGATGTTTGACTAAAACCCCGAAATCAAGTGTCTCTATCATCCCATTAAACACGTCAACGGTACAGATCCATTCAATCACTGCCGTAACCGCAGGCAATACTATTATACATCTCTCATAATTAATCTCCGAGTTAGAGGCAGGCAGGCAGCGAGTGAGGGAGTGAGAGATATAATAAATCTCAATCACTTATTAATCTCCATTAAAGCGGCAAAACCTCGCCTGCAAAACCACTGAGAATGGCCAGCAATCGAACCGCACGCACTGGAGCAAGGGTGCCCCGACGGTTTGGTTTCACCATGAAGATACTGGCCTTCGGCATTAGTCTCGTCGTCTTTATTTTCTTAAGTCTCTCTTTTGCCTTCACTTTCCACTCAGATTCTTACGATCTCCAACCCTCGGTGAGTATGCACGCTCTCTCTCTTTGTTCGTTTTAGTTTTAATTGATTTTTATCTTATTTTTAAGTAAAAAGCAAATTGTAGATATGAATTAGAATTGTTTTAAGAAGTGTTATTGTTTACTTGAATGGGATTAGGGTACGTACAGAATTGCATCCTTAGGGAGATCCCTTTTGGGGCAAAAATCGGATCCACTGAAGCCCCGGTTGGATCAGATCCGAAAGCAAGCGGATGATCACCGAGCATTGGCTATGGCGTACGCATCGTATGCACGGAAGCTGAAGCTGGAGAACTCGAAATTGGTTAGAAACTTTGCCGATCTTTCTAGGAACTTTACGGATCTCATCAATAAACCATCTTATCGGGCTCTCACAGAGTCTGACTCCCTCCAAATTGATGAATCCATTCTACGGCAGTTTGAAAAGGAAGTGAAAGAAAGAATCAAATTTACTCGCCAAATAATAGCAGAAGCAAAAGAGTCGTTTGATAACCAGTTGAAGATTCAGAAACTAAAAGACACTATTTTTGCAGTGAATGAACAGTTAACAAAGGCCAAAAAGCAAGGAGCTTTTTCGAGTTTGATAGCTGCGAAATCGATACCTAAGAGTTTGCATTGTCTGGCCATGAGATTGATGGAGGAGCGAATTGCACATCCTGAGAAATACAATGAGGAAGGGAAGGCAAAGCCCCCAGAATTTGAAGACCCTAAGCTTTACCATTATGCTATATTTTCAGATAATGTGCTTGCAGCTTCTGTCGTGGTGAATTCCGCTGTTAAGAACTCCAAAGAGCCATCAAAACATGTGTTTCATGTAGTGACTGATAAGATGAATCTTGGGGCGATGCAGGTTATGTTTAAATTGAAGGATTATAATGGGGCCCATATAGAGGTTAAGGCAGTTGAAGATTATAAGTTTTTGAATTCATCCTATGTGCCTGTTTTGAGGCAGTTGGAGTCTGCTAATTTGCAGAGGTTTTACTTCGAGAACAAGCTTGAGAATGCAACAAAAGATACGACAAATATGAAGTTTAGAAATCCCAAGTACTTGTCGATATTGAATCATTTGAGGTTTTATTTGCCTGAGATGTACCCGAAATTGCATAGGATTTTGTTCTTGGATGATGATATTGTTGTTCAAAGGGACTTAACAGGGTTGTGGAAGATAGATATGGATGGGAAAGTGAATGGGGCAGTTGAGACTTGTTTTGGGTCGTTTCATAGGTATGCTCAGTACATGAATTTCTCACATCCTTTGATCAAGGAGAAGTTTAATCCAAAGGCATGTGCATGGGCTTATGGGATGAATTTCTTTGATTTGGATGCTTGGAGAAGAGAGAAGTGTACAGAAGAATATCATTACTGGCAGAATCTGGTAAGATTAATTTTTATGCATTGCTATTTGTTTCCATTTTATGTTAATGCAATAGCCAATTGTTATACTGATTTATGTCTTATCTTTTATGATGGTTGCAGTATTATTATTATTATTATTATTATTAGCTACTATTGGTTGCAAAAAGAAACTAATGTATTTAGTTGCTTTAGTTTAACTAGGTGGACTGATCTCCCTGTCCTTTTTATAGCTACTACAGTTTTATATTCATTAATGTGTTGTATATTAGTATTTTCTGGATTAAACTTTTGTGTGTTATTGCAGAATGAGAACCGAACCTTGTGGAAATTAGGGACATTACCTCCAGGTTTAATCACATTTTACTCTACCACGAAGCCACTTGACAAATCATGGCATGTTCTGGGGCTTGGCTATAATCCTAGCATTGGTATGGATGAGATTAGAAATGCTGCAGTGGTACACTTCAACGGCAACATGAAGCCTTGGCTTGACATTGCCATGAATCAGTTCAAGCCTCTTTGGACTAAGTATGTTGATTATGATCTTGAATTTGTTCAAGCCTGTAATTTTGGTGCCTGAATAATCTGTGTCATACTCAAGTCTTATATGACATCACTTGTAGGATTTTGCTTCTATTTGTCCATACGAGTCTTGCAGCTGCAATTAAAATTATTTGGCAAATGTTAAAAAGTATTTAGAACTATATGCGATTTTGCAATTAAAGTTTTTAGTTGTTTCATCTCAACTCTATATATGTAGTGATTTAACCATATCATTATCATAGCATTACCCTGCCGTAATTGGGTTGTACTTGTTTTAGCTCTTAAAACCTGTTTCTGAATGTTATAGTCCTCGATCACATTGGATGTTTCGGTTTGTAAAGAAATTGCTGAGGTATATCACCTGGTATGGTAGCATTAATAGATTGAAGATATATATATAAATTACAACTGGATACTGTTGCTATACGTCAGTATTTAGGAATTGACGAACCGCTGAGGATTTTACCGGAGACAATTAAACCATGCAATCGGAACGACTCCTGCTCAACCCAGACTTAAGATAATTAAATGTCGACCAAAATTAGTTCAAATCACATGCGAAGCATTCTTCAAACTTCCGAAGACAATGAATATTGTAGTTACCAAGTAGTTGGACGGCAAAAAGTTTTGTAAATGAGCCACTACCACCAAAGTATTTAGGCAAGGTTGTATCAAACCTCCTCGCGAGTATAGATTCTAGCTGTCAAATAACCCAAACCAAAACCAAAAACAAAAAAAAAAAAAAAAAAAAAAAAAACAAAAAACAAAAAACAAAAAACAAACACCAAACCCAACATTCTCCATTAACCATTTCTTCAAAATTGTCGAGGAAAGCTTGTTAACCTAACAATCGTCATTTTCAGTACGCGAAACATAGATAATATTATCCACTGTAACCTCCAAAAAAAAGTCCCACGATATCTACCCGGGGACTAGATATTGACACAAGTATACCAAACAAAAATTTAACACCATTCACCCAAAAAACTCGTTATGGAAAAAAAAAAACGAAAAAGCTAAGCTCCAGATAAATCCTAAAGAAAATTCGGTACTTGATCCACTAAAATATCATATCCTTACTCTTAAACCTATTAAACCACTTGCCAAATCACTAAACTACAAACAGAAATTATCTTGCTCAATCTCAACTGCTCCCAAATCATATGCTTTCCTCATGCAGGAGCAGGTACTCGCGGTGCTACATTTTTAGCTGCGCATTAACAGTCATCCTGCCAGCACGGTTCACACGACCACCAGCCCCCAATCTGCACTCCTTGGTATCCATCACCTCCACGGTTAGAAAATCTCCCCTACTGCCACTCCTATTTTCATACTCATCCTGTTACAAAAATCACCACGGCCATAGCCTCTGCTAGCTCCATAGTTTCCACGCCTTTGCTCCCTCATTCCTGATCCATTTCCCGCTCCTGTGAAAACCGTCCCCTATTTCCCCCGCCAATAAAACACCAGTTTAGCATAAATTTAACAAGATAGGTCAACCTTTGGTCTCAAAGAGTTGTATCTAAGTTAGGAATCCCCATTCCATCCTAACAATAACTGGATAGCAAAAGACTTGGCACTGGAATTCTAGGCCCAGCTACCAGCAAGGGCTGAGCCTTACAGGACAAAAAAAGCCCAGCCCCACACCCGGGTTTTATTGCTAACATTAGACAAAATATATTATACATTCTATTATAAAAAAAAAAAATACTTATATACATACATAAAATAATACTAGTACATAATATGTAGGAAGTACTATATAATAATTTAATAACATTTTTTTTTAATTGTAAAATAACATCATTATATGATCTAGGACAAGAGAACATTCAAAAATTGCAAAAGATAAATTTTTAATTAGTCTCATCAAAGGAACTGAAAACCACACTCTAGAGTTCAAGCACAAAAAAACTCAAATTCAAATAGCTATTGATTATAACATTCTTTTATGTCAAATCTCCAAATATTGGGAAGCATAAAAATACTATACTCAAGCAAAATTATTCAAAACTTGAGAAGAGCGCCATCACCACCCAACATAAACATACTAGCCCATCACCACCTGTTGCATATTTCTTGCCAAAAAGAATGAAATGCAGCTTGTCATGACATGCAAACACACCAGCACACAAGATGTTTGCTCCAGTACTCTTGACGAGTGATAATTAATCATTGTATTTTGAAATAAAATTTAAAAAAACATTAACAATAATTAATTTAAACCTAAAAGCAGGCCTGGGCTGGAAATATAAAAATTAATCCAGGGCCTAGTCCGGATGCACCCAGGGTTTTGCCATCCCTCCATGAACTATAAAGTGCAGTGTCTGAAAGTTTGGCATAAACAAACAAATGTGATAGTAACAGTGATTATATGGAAAATTGTAACTCGCGGAGACCACTTTGAATTTTCCTGAAACTTAGTGGTGACACTCTGTATGACACCAATTTAACTGTAATACGAAGGGACCTCATATCTTTCAAATAGCAATGACAGTTGCCATGTCATGCATGATGTATTTGCAATTCAAGAGTCAAATTTTAAAATATAGCAATTTCACAACAAAATCCCAACTTGCCTCGAGTAGACTTCTTTTGTTCAACAACAACTTGTCGTCCATTGATCATGATAGGAGATGCCTGAGGAAAAAATAGAAACATACTTATAACACAAAACAATTAAGAGATTCTTAACATAAGAAGCTAATCAATGCAACAAGGAAATGAAAACATCTAAGACAACTGTGAGAATCAATAAGTAGACACGGGTCCTTTCCCATTCTTAACAGGGAGGAACATTGAAAATCCAGAAATGAATTTATGCACTGCTAAAGGAGCCCCATCATGGCATCTTTCCTTGGCCAACAAAAATTTATGGTAAGATAACTGCACACTGAATTGTATAAAATTACGATAAAATAGAAAGTTATCATCACATGGAACTTTAAAAAAAATCATCCTGTACCTACATCATAAATGGGGCTCCTACAATTAGCTTGATTGTTTATATTCACAGGGTAGAGGTTGTATTTTCCTATAATTGTCCATACAAGGTTTAGACAGTATGAATACCCTCAGGAACTTGCACATTAAAGTTAAATAAACATCTTAAAATAACAGAATATAGCATTTGCAAAATAAAAGTTTATACAAAGGATGGCAAAATTAACAACAAAAACACACAAAGGAAGAATCCAGGACATGCTAGTTTTAAGCATGAATTTCTCTATGAAGATGGTGCATGCCAGTCATGTTACTTAACATGTAAAACAGACATCAAATGATAAGAAAATTAACCTAAAAATTCTGCTCGTGATTGTGTGAAACCAATTTGTGTTGTTATGACATTAAAAAATAGCATCAAAATTTAGAATATATCTAAAATACCAAAAACTCCATGGCAGAGGTGAACATCATAAATAGACAAAAAGGAACTCACAGATAATCTGTTTCTTTTTCATCCATGGTGGAACAAAATATCTATGAATTTCATCTAAAACCATATCCTCAAGGTACAGTATACATATGTATAACAACAAACAAGTCACAGCAGCAAAAGCTATTGCACACCTCTATTGCATTTTGCACAGCAACTTCCTCTTCAAATTCAACAAAGCCAAAAGAAAATCCCTGTTCCAAAGAGAATAAATATCCGTTTCAGACTCACTAAACTGTAAATCAAAGAGGAAAATGAGATTAAATATACCTTTTGGGATTTAATTTGAATACCACCACTCCTTATAGCTCCAAACTTCTTGAACTCATTCTCAAGTAGAGAATGTGTGGCACTCACAGGCAGACCTTTAAGATATATAGATGGACCCTCAGCTGTTTATCAATAAACAAAAGAATGAATCAACATAACATATATACAAATATGCTAATACCCACGTGTGCATACCTGAAAGAATAAATTGTGAATTAACCATCAAAAATCATGCAAACGTGATGAATAACCACATACCTCCACCCTCTAGGTTATTCCCATTTTCAGTAGCAGGGACACTGGAAACAGGTGTCTCTGATGCCTGATCTGGAGGCGATGCAGAGGGAGGTTGTTGCTCCTGGCTCTTCATTATAGACCTTAGAGAAGATGGTGGAGGGGATGATATAGAGACAGCACTGTCCTTCATAACCTTCACCAGGAAAAACAATATTTGGCAATTCAGCATATGATGGAAAAAGCAATGTGAACACAGCTACTAAAAAACCATTTATATTCCACTAACTATCATCAGTTCTAAAGATTACAGAAAAATGCAATTACTGAAACCAAACTCAAATTATCTGCAAAGCTAAAGACGCATGTAGATGTAGCAGATGCTAATTACAATTGAAGCATAGGACTTCTTCGGCACTTCTTCACTTTTAGAGTTAGATTCAGCAACCATATGTGTATCATCTGGAACCTCATCAACAACCTCAGGTACCGGTGCCTCCTCTTCTTTGATTGTGCCGTCCCCATTCTCAGAAGGATCACGAACATCCTCCACATTGACTTCCTCAGATAAAACAGCCATTTGATCAGAAACATGAGTGCCCTGTACTAGAGAATCATCTGCAGAAAGAAACATCATCTTAACATCAATCAGAGGTAAGCAAAATCTGTAATTTATAACCATAGTGTTGGTTTCAATTACCTTGGTCAGGAGTAATAGGAGCTTCAACGTCATTAACAGGAGCCTGGTTGCCATCATAGTTGGTCTCATCTACATATCTAAAGACATCATTCAAAACAAAGTAGCCTTTGTCTTGAGGTGCCAGGAAAAAACTCTGAGTAAATTTCCGCTTCACATTGTCCTTTCCAGTCAAATACCCAGTCACAAGAACAAGAACTCCCCCATTGTAAGATTCTTGTGCATCCACAGTTGTTATCTCAGCGCTGAAATCTCCATAATGGAGTGAAAGTATCTTATCATTGATAGCCTGCCCCAAAGAGTCAAACAAACATGTAAAGGACAACACTCCCTATCGTTAATAAAAACTTACTCTACAGTTAATTCATACATATGCTACTTTGTGAGAAGATCTCATATCCAAATGAACCATACACACGCCTTTTCCTTACTATAAAATAGCAAATATTGACATCATATAAGACCCAGGAAAACAAAAACTTCATTACTAATACCTCATACAAACAATTGGCTAAGTAGAAGTTAACTCCCATGCCATATTGAAGAATTTTTTTTTCCAGTTTTGTTGACACACTGATCTTTTATCCATTCTCTCCCAACTAAAAGCTTTATAAGCTTCAACAAGCTAAGCAGCAATAAATAAAACACAAAAATGAAAAGACACACAGAATGTACAGAAACAGAGAACAGGAAGAGTTGCTCACTTGCATAGTGGTTGTGTTACTCATGACCCCATTTTCTTCTGGGCGACCAAGCTTACTAATATCCTGGTAAAACCGATGAACATGCTCGGGAGATTGGTGTAATATAAGGTAGTATTGATGAACAAACGCATTCCCCACCTAATAGTCCACCACAATTATTACCTCGTAACTCAATCAAAGACATGACAGTTGCATTAAAATGAAAATGAAATAATATAATACAAGAATCCAAATAAAATAAAGTGACATACAACATCAGCGGTAGGAGCTGGAGCTGGAGCTGGCTGAACCGTAGACGCCATCACTACTCTTACCATTCTTAGTACTTGATCTCACAAAAGCAATAAAAAGCCCTAATTAATTATACAGAAATCTTCATTACTTAATTTTATTGTTTTTCAAGAAAATCGAAACCAAACCCTAACGGAGTCACCACAAACATTTCTACAGTGGATCCGGAAAATGATTTTCCAGTAAAATAAACAAACAGAACCATAAACGATCCACCAACATGTCAGCTCAGACTTCACACTTAAAACTGACTACTTAAGCATGCGTAAACTTTTACTTTTCTCAGCAAAAAATAAAAAATAAATAATAACAATCATAACAAGCAAAAAAAGGGGCGTAAAATGAAGGTATATTTAGCAAAGCAAAGTAAAAGCAGAACAAAGATACAGGAAGAGAGAGAGAGATAAATAATGCGTAGATTTGAGTACCGGAAATGAAGATTTGGATCGGAGAAAGTGAGGTGAGAGGAGCGTATAGAAAGTGGTTGCAAAATTGGTGTCTAACCTCCCTTAAATTATCTAGGGTTTGTAAAGTTTGGTCTCTCTAGATCTTGAAGAAGCGCAAGAATAAGGGAGGAAGACGAGAGAGAGTGCGGGACAGGGTTTTAGTGCTTTTATAAGTGCGTGCGTGTGTGTGTGTGTGTGTTTTGTTCTGTAAATTGTAAATGACGTGTATGTGCATGTGAAATGTGAGCACCAAAATCAGAGGAGAATTTTTATGACGGTGCGTGAGAAGCTTTGTTGTGTTATATTTGCTTTTGGAAAATATTTCATTTCGTTTCCATAATATGACTGCAATCAAATGATTTAAATTATATTAAACAGATTATCTAACATAGTTTGAGAATGTCTACCAGTTTTCTTTTAATTCATTTAAGCTAGTTTTGCTATATTGAACATGGATATCATATAATGTAATTATTGGTCAAGGCTATAGTAATTTAAATTGAAACACAAATTTATTATAAAAAATTTAAGTCAAAATTTTAAGTTGATAGAACCTAACCCAAATATAAAACCCATAGTATCAGTCTATCTATAAAAGGGGAACAACTTAAACATACCCAAGGTTTTTCGTAATGACAAGTTGGTACACAAAAGGTTTGAGAAAGACAAATAGATACTTTCTGTCCTGTATTGTTATAGATTTCCATTTTATAATAGTGAAAATACTAAAATACCCTTTGAAGTTTGACATCTTAGTTTGTTATTAATTTATCACTAGTCAACTTATTCAATTACATAAATACCCACATCATTATGGTGAATTACATTATGCCCTCATGTTACAAGTGACCAATTTATTCCTGTTTTGGCAGAAACAGTGTCAATATACTCAGTTGTGGCTGAAAATTGAAATTTTTCATAATTTAAAAGAAAACATTCATAATTAACATCAATTCAGTACATGATATTCAGTATCAATTAAGTCTTCATGGTTTAAATAGAAACCATGAATTCAATACATGAAAATGTGATATACAACTGAAACTTCAAACTTCAAATCATGTTTGAAAAACTGAGCAGTTTCCAGATGCACACCCATAGCTGCAAAAACAGGCACAATTGCAATGTAATAAACTATAGATACATACTCTTGTCTAGTACAAACATCATCATTTCAAATCCACTACAATGGGAATGCATCGTGCAATCCTTGTCAATTTGACCATTATTTTTCCCCTGTAATTTATTAGAGGCCAACACAAAAGAACTCCCCCACCATTTATATATATATTTCCACAATTCAATCTTGTTAATTTAACTCTCATTCTTTGCCTTAATTCTCTTCTGTTTAAATAACAGAAAGAGCAGAGCAATCAGCCAAGAACCCAAACAATTTCCAACAATTTATATTTTTTGAAAGAAACAGAAACTAAAAAAAAAAAAAAAATCAAATATGATACCCTTCTAATACTCAACCCCAAACAATGAAATTGCAGTAACCCTTTTAGACAAGAACCCATACAATAATAGCAATCAACAACCAATAAACTAGAGCAATCAGCTAAAAAACCCAGAAAAATATAGCAACCAACAACCAATAAATCACCCAACTAGCAAGCCAATACAAGGATAATAAACAACAAAATGCAACCCAACGACACATATAAAGAGCAGCAAAGCAAAACTAAGACAAAAAGAGATAAAAACAATGCAAGACTTCGAATATCCTCCCCTATTTTCCACTCTTCACTTTTCTGAATATCCTCCCCAATTCTCCCTAACTCCTTTTTATCCCATTCAAAATCTCTCCATGAAAGAATTCCCACTTATCCCACATAATTCTTCCTCAACATTCACATGCTTAGGAACTCTTTTGCCCAACTGCAAATAATCCTCTACTACCCATTCTAACACATCAGGTGTTTCATCAGATTCCCTAATTCAACTGCTAATAATCTTGCACATGAACATATCACATTACAGCTAAGTAATAATACACACCTATTCTTCTAAGTTGTAGTGTTAGAGGTCTAGGTGGCAAAAAAAGCATTTAGTTGACTAAGCAACATGTTCGAAACACTTAATAGAGTATAGAAACAGTGGGTTAGAATAGGATAATCAAAGTACAAAAAAAAAAAAAAAAAGTGATAGAAACAAAAACAACCTACTGCTATAGCAAACAAAAGAACTTCCCCATTGCATTATTGACTTGGTTGACCTATTAAGAGAAGTAAGAATAACGTTAGCAAAGGTAAAAAGTAATAGACATAAATATTATATGGTTTAAAATAGTTGTAAGTACCCATTGAACTTGAAGCTTGGGACAAGTTTGTTGCAAATCGAGCTCCTGAAGAGGGTTCAATCATTGTGGACACAAAGGTTCGCTGCAAATAAAAAAATAGAAATCAGTATTATAAGAGAAAATACGTTGAAATTGACATTTTCTCTATTACCTTCTACTTCTTCCTTTTATCTGCATTTGTTGGATTTTTTTTGCAAGACCTTTTGTTATGCCCCAAGACACTGCAGACACTACACCAAAGTGTAGAGACCCTTTTAGATTTTGGCTCTTCATTTGGATCTCTCCTTCTTGATTTCGAAGGTCTGCCAACCTTGGGCTGCCTGTATGGTGGCCAAATATATTCATCACTGACCTCTGGCCAACTAGTCTTATCGGGAACAGGGTGGACCATGTATGCATAAGTTTGCAGGTACATCGAAATTCTAAGCTTCGGATCAACATAATGTTCATAGTTGGAAATGTTTTTGTGTAACAAATAGGCGATAACATGAACACAAGGAATTCCTGATAGTTGCCACATCCCACAATCACACAGTTGCTTACCCAAAACCAGAACATGAGTTTTACATGGGTTTACATTCTCATCATCTACTTCAAACTCATCAGATCCAGGATACTAGACTTTGACATTTCTAGTTGCCTCAATCATCTTGTTTATCTTTCTGTGAACTACTAGTGGAAGAGGTGTAATCCACTATGTACCAGCTTTCAATCTACATTGTAACCGCTTCATTACCCTACGTCGGTAAACTTCCAGTAGACTTAGTATAGGAAGTTCCCTGTCTTCACCAAGCCATGAGTTGAAGCACTCACTCATGTTGTTAGTTATGTGATCTGACTTTGCTGTTGTGTCAAACGCATGTCTGGACCATTGGTCTGGTTCATTTTCAAGCAACCATTTGTATGCACCCTCATCCACATCCTTGACACTTCCCATGGCCTTAACAAAATCTGGTTTGTTTGCAGCCTTACTCACTGCCCAAAACAATTTCCTCATGTGAACCCCATAAATTTTTTTCTGAAGTTTGCGTACACATGCCAAGCACAAAATTTACTCCTTGCATTTGGCCACTTTGCTTCTAGTGCATTTAGAATACCCTTCTGCTTGTCACTCATGAATGTAACATGCTCTAAATCACTCAAAAAACCATGCAATAGTCCAAGGAAGAAGCCCCATGAGTCATTATTCTCCGCCTCACAAACACATATTGCCAAAGGGAATATCCCACTATTTGCATCCATAGAGACTACTGATAGAAGTACCCCACCATAATGACCTTTCAAATGACACCCATCAATTCCTATGAAATGCCTACACTCCTCCAAAAATCCTCTTTTCTGAGCAGCAAAACTTACAAAAAATCTCTTGAATCTAGGACTTTGTGGGACACTTTCTCTAATTGTAAGATTGTCTTCTCTAACCAACCTAGGTTCTATCATGGATCCAGGGTTGGTGACTGGAAGAATGTGGTTGTACTTGAACAACCAGGCAAAAGACTCAACATGTTGTTTTTGGGTCATTCCGGTGGCCAACCTCCTAGCCCTATATAGCTTCCTTTTATGTATCTCCAAAAAATGCACCCTTCCTAATTCAGCATCTAAGGGCTTAACACAACTCCCCTTGTGTGACCATATGAATCCCTCCATCTTCTTAGCAATCCATGAGGCAGAGGCATCCGGGTTGTTATATACTCTAAGGCATGTGTGGTTGGTTTCATATTTCCTAATCTGTTACGATTGTTTGTCAACCATTAAGGCTGCATATAGAAAGAATGGGCAACCCTCTTCTTTACACACTACTTTGATCCTCCGCTTATCATTGTGCACCCTTCTCACTGCGAACCCTCTCTGAATTATGTAGTCCTTGAAAATTTCAATAAAATGGATTTTATTTATAAAATCCTGCCCTACCTTAAATTTAATTTTCCCATTTGGCCCATACTGAAACTCACTTGCCTTCATATGCCTACTCATCCTACTCACTGCATCCTCATCCTCACTAGACCCCTACATGAAATCGTCATTGTTTGTCTCATAATCAAACAGATGCCCCCCCTAGTTCCAGCCCTGTCCTCTCTCCCATCACCTCCATCATTATGACCAGCCTCACCATCAACATTCCCAGCAGCACCAGCAAATCCATTACTGCCTTCATCATCATTGGAGGCATCACTCCAATGAAAGTCATCGTCACAATACTCTTCGGGGGGGATTTCTGTTTGAGTGTTATTAGGTTTAGTATGGTTGGGTTCTGGCAAAGGCTGCAATGGTTCCACATGCTGTATAGGTAAAGCTTCGACATACAACTTAATGTCCTATAACCCCTCAAACCCATATTGCTGGAAAAGGAATACCACATCCTCATCACTTCTATTAAAAATTTCTCCCTCGGCAATGGTAAAATAGATTCCACCATAAACTTTTCATTAAGATTAAGTTGAACTGCCTCATTCTCTTTTGGAACACATTTTTTCATATCCTTTATCAATACTATGTAGCTAAATTCATCGGGGTCCACATTTCGCATCTCACAATCAATACCGAACAACTAAAATTTCAAATTAAATAGTTGTGGCTCCATCCTACAAATAAACTAGGCAGAATCAATAAACTGGAATTTATGTTTTATTAAGTAATGAAAAACATGCAAATAACAGTTACTTTAATTAAATTAAACCTTTTTTTATTATTGAATAATTAACTAAAATTTAACCTACTTTCAGATTTGTAGTGGGTTTTTAAATTAATTAATTAAGTTGATGAGAATATAATTCTATTCATTATTCACTAAAAGACCTTATAATTCCTCTAATGATCACTTTCAGATTTAACTACACAAAGATTACATGAGATAAATTTCTACAATTCTACATATAT